TTTTTTTTTTTTTTTTTTTTTTTTTTTTTTTTTGGTTTTTCGAGACAGAGTTTCTCTGTGTAGCCCTGGCTGTCCTGGAACTCACTCTGTAGACCAGGCTGGCCTCGAACTCAGAAACCCACCTGCCTCTGCCTCCCAAGTGCTGGGATTAAAGGCGTGCGCCACCACCGCCCAGCCCTCCTGTTATTTCTTTAAGGGAGTTATTTACGTCCTTCTTAAAGTCTTCTTGAGAAGTCATTTTAAATCTGAATCCTGCTTTTCTGGTGTGATGGGGTGTGCAGGACTTGCTGCGGTAAGAGAACTGGGTTCTGATGATGCCAGGTAACCTTGGTTTCTGTTGCTTGTGTTCTTGAGCTTGCCTTTTGCCATCTGGTTATCTCTAGTGCTATCTGCACTCACTGTCTCTGACTGGAGCCTGTCTCTCCTGTTATCTTGCTTGTGTCAGAACTCCTCAGAGTCCAGCTGTCTCTGTAATGCTGTGACCCTGAGATCCTGGTGAAAGAGCTCCTGGGACTCAGGCCTCCTCTGGGATCCTGAAATCCTATGATCCTGGGCGTCCAACTTCCTCAACTGCTCTGAGTGCAGCGGATTCTCTGCTGCTCTGAGTACAGTGGTTCCTCTAGGATGGGTCAGGATATGGTGTCTTCATGGGAGCAGACCAGCTAGGAGTCTGCCCCAGCAAAAAGGACCAACATCTTTTAAAAACCCATTAAGATATTCTGAGTACACGATTAGTCATTCACATCAATATATTACTGTTAAATGACATAATTTGAGGAATTTTGTTAAAATATTAGAAAAAGTCAAAGTAGCAACCTAACAACACTGACAGCCATGCCTCCCTCTAAAGGCTCTTACCCTTCCTTCCTAATGCTGCAGCATTTAATATAGCTCTTCACGTTGTGACCCCAACCATAAAATTATTTCACAGCTATTTCACAACTGTACTTTTGCTACTGTTATGCACTACAATGTAAATATTTGATATACAGGATATCTGATGGGTTGAGAACCACTGCTCTAAAGCATGACCACACTGAGGATGCTTTCGAATGATTCTCACCTGCTTCCGAGCATCCACATCCGCAGCATCCTCAATGTAGTTGTCATCTATCTCCCGCTCTTCCAGCTCCTTCTCTGCATTTTCTGGTAGAACAATTTCAAAGTCATTCTTGGGCGCAGGCAGGCCTAACAATCCTAGTCGGAGGTGTTCACGAGATTCTCTTTCCTGTAGAAAAGAATTGGTCCTTGTCAATTCACACTGTCAGTATTAACTAATAAATTCTCTAAGAACTTCTAAAACAGCAGGGCATAGTGACACATACCTATAATTACAAAACTCAGGAGACTGACACAGGATTACTACTCAAAACCAGCTTGGGCTTAAAACAAAACAAACAAAAGTTTCTGAAACAACTGACTTGGAACCAGTAAAAGTGCTTGCCTCCACAACTGACCATCTAAGTCTGACTCTCAAGATGCACATGGTAGGAGAGAACCAACTCTTTCAAGTTGTGCTCTGATCCACACATACACCACAGTAAATGTGCACCCACATATGTCATAGGAATATACACTAAATAAGAAAATATAGTTTAAATGTTTAGATATGTAAAAATCAAACAATTAATTTAGTAATGACTCTTCTAAAGTGATCCTCAACTTTTTTATTCTCGTATCTTCCTTCATTAATATCAAACAAAGCCTTGACTTGTAATAAACCAGGGTTTTGTGGTCTTAAAAGTGTCTCAGAATTATTTCTCCGTGAACAGAGAAGAAGGCTCATTAGGATCTGCACTTGATTTGGTTGGGGGAGGGGGAAAGCTCGAGGACAGGGAGCCGGCTCCATGATTAAGAGCACTAGCAGCTCTTCCAGAGGAACTAGACTAGATTCAATTCCCAACATTCACAAGGCAGCTCACAACTGTCTCTAACCTCAGCTCCAAGGGGTCCAACACCCTCACACAGATGCACATGCAGGCAAAACTCCAAAGCACATAAAGATAAAAACTTGAATTTAATGTAAACTGTAGAGCTGGAGGTATCTGTCAGTGGAGAGCACTGGCTTGGCAGGCTGAAGGGCCCTGGGGTTCAGTGCACTGACTATGTAAGTATAAAAAGCTGTCACTTACCATCTGCTTCACGTAAGAGGGGTCGCTGTAGTCTGCCATCCCATCCTCGGGATTAATGTTTAATTTGTCTCTAAGTGGTGTTCTACCTGGAGTGGCATTGGTGACTGGTTTAGGGGTTGTCCCACTCCGGGGAGTCAGCCCTTCAGCTCCATTAGAAGGAGTCCTATACAAACAGAAATCTAAGTCACGGTAAATGCATACAGTAAGGAATAACAACACCAACACCTCTCTCTTGCTCTCACTGTGTTATCTAGATGAAGACTGAAGTTTGGTTTGTTGACACCATATTTATGTGTACTGTACTGGTTTCCAGCCCTGACATCTATGTTTTGCCTTCCTTTAGGTCCACCAAACATTTTCTCAACCTTTGACACAGCAGGGTAACTAAGAACAGCAGCTGGCAGGGAGGCTGACCACCGTGTTCACCCGCTGGCCCCAGGCGGCTCCTTGAGCTCAGTGTGCTCATCTTCATCACCTCCCTGCTCAAGTCTTTAGCTTTCATGTCACACTCACTCCCATCTAAGGTGCACTTTACATGGCTTATGCTCTTATATTTTGTTTGGAAATCAAATACCACATTTTCAGATTCACATCTAAGGATGAACAGGCTCTGAGTTTAGGCTCTCAACAATAAAGTCCAGCAGCAACTTATAGTTTAATTATTCAAAGCCTTTCTGGTTTTGGTTGCTTACTTCCTGTATCTCGGCTGTGTTCCAGATTGATGGTACTGCCAGACATCTGTTCCCAACAGGTTCGGTGTTATCATTTAAGACATGGTCCCTGCCCCCAAGGAGCTTACAATCTATTTGAGAGACAAGATATACACAGGAAAATAGAGATTAGGCTCTCTTTAGCCTCACAGGAAGTAATAACTACTATACAAAGACTAGCTTCCAATGATTCTTGATTCTGCTGTCATCTACAAGTATAATGGACTGTGGGGATTTCTACCCTAAATAACTCATAGAGGGCAGAGCTAACACCTAAAAATAAATACGAGGGCTGGAGAGATGGCTCAGGTTAAGAGTACCGGCTGCTCTTGCAGAGGTCCCAGGTTCAACTGCTAACACCCACATGGCAGCTCACAACCTTAACTCCAGCTCTTTGGGAGTCAATACCCTCTTCTAACCACCAAAGACACCAGGCAACCCAATTAGGAGACATCAAAAAGGTAAACTGAAGTTAAACAGTTATTCCAATCTCCATCAACATTACTCAAAAAAACATGCTGCCCAGGTTCTTAAATTGAAGTTTTTCTAAAATAGAGAACATGCTGATTTTTACAATACCTGAAAGGGGTAGACAGAACAGTATTTGGAGTCTGCACAACCTGCCGCTGTGGGGTCACACCAGAGAAGTCACTTTCATGCAGTGGGGTATTAAGCCCACCTTTCAATGGAGTGTCCACATTGGTCAAAGCCATGAGGTTCTGAGCTTCCTGGAGATAAAGGAGGATGTACAGCAGTCAGAAAGGCTAGTAGAATCTTCCCTCTGGCCCTATTACACAAATCTTGATGAAGACAGGATTTATACACAATCTTTCACAAGAAAACCAAGAGAGTGAGTACTGCTTCGGAACAGATTTCGGCACTTTCAGTCCTTTGTCCACCAAACCATCATATCAGGAGTTCTGAATCAAGTTCACATGTCAGGATATGCTACCGTCACTAGGTGTGAATGCAACATGCCTACAATTCTGACACCTAGGATGGAGAGACACCAGCTCAAGGGTACTTTCAGTTACACAGCGAGTTTGAAGCCACCTGAGACTCTGTGTTAAGGGGCAGGGGGAAACAGTGCTGTGGGCTCATTACCCAAGAGCTTCTCCCATTATCCATGCCAGATCTCTTTACCATCATGTACTAAGAAGTCCAGGTTCCCAATAGGAGCTGAGGCCAAATGTCATAACACTCAGGTTTTAGTCTGGCTTCATCACTAATTCTTTATCTAATGTTTATAATAACTCTCAGTCTCTGCTTCTTCTGTTAGAAAGTTAAGACATATCTAAGGTGCCAATGCATGCCACAAGACTCATAGGATCAGATTTCTTTAAGAAGTCTCATGTCTCAGCCTTCTCACCGTTTTGGCTAAGACTGAAATAATCAGGCTCTTTTTAGTTCTCACTCTCTTAACTATCTTTGCCTTAATCTTAGTTCCCAGCTCAGTGTCTAAGGCAGACTTTACCTTCCAAAGCCAGGCATACTGAATACTCGTCTGTGTGTCTTCAGTGTTCCTCTCCTCCCATTCCCCTTAAATGAAGGTGGCCTTGTTTCTCCTTGACAGAGAAGACAACAAGAGTAGCATGGCTTAGGGTCTGGAGAGATGGCTCAGCAGTTAAGAGCACTGACTGCTCTTCCAGAGGTCCTGAGTTCAATTCCCAGGAACCACATGGTGGCTCACAACCATCTGTAATGGGATCTGATGCCCTCTTCTGGTATTCATGAAGACTGAGCACTCATGTACATAAAATATATATGTAAATCTTTAAAAAAAAAAAAAAAAAAGAGTAGCACGGCTTGATTTCCAGTGTTAGCTTAGAACCATGATGGGGCCTCTCTCCACTCACAGCTCTTACATCAGTCTGAGATACTAGGGGAGAAGTTCAAGTGTCATGCTGAAGACTATATAACCACATGCAGATGCAGATCGAGACTCGGGCCTTGCACCATGCTAAGTCGCCAACCTCTCTCCAGCATCACCATCACACATGGCGGATGACATCCCATGTGTTCTAGCCACCACCTGTCAAGTCACCCTCAAATGCTGAGTGTTCCCAGGCAGAGTAAAGTCACCTTTTACATGCCCTGTCTAAATTCCTAACCACAGCAATCTTGAGCCCAGTAAGTGGGTTAAGCTACTAAGAGGCAAAATGAAGACAACTGGGGAAGACTTGCCCATGACTCTGAGTGTCTGTTCTCAGGAGGAATCTAGAATTTCATAAAAGTCCTGAGCATGCTTTGCTAGTCCAAATAAAAAGTGTCTCTTGGAAAGAGACAGGCTTACAACTTCTGCATAAGAGAAGGAAGGACCAAATGACAACGCAGCCAGAAAAGCAAAGGTAGTGTGACTCACTGTCTGTGCTGCAATAATGAACATACAAAGGTAGAAAACACCCAAAACCACCAAATGAGCCAGTAGAATACTGGTTCTTCTCAGAGCTATCTTCTACTGGAATGTTCCCACAATCTCCCTCCCCTATAGTTCTTCAAAAACAAAATGAAGATAAAGGTGTCACCAAGAGGCAGCAGCTACCATTTGTGGGAGGCACATGAAGTGTCCTTGCACTGCTCTGCTCCATGCCCAGTGTTCTGAGGCAGCCCTGGAACCAACAGCAGTCCACAACCTTTCAGGCACAGTGAAAGGAGCTCCAACAACTGGAAGGGAGGGCTGGATAAATGGCTCAGAGGATAAAAGCACTGGCTGCTCTTAAAGACCCAGGCACAACTCCAAGCACCTGAAAGGAAGCTCTCAACTGCCTTTAACTCAAGTTCCAACGGCTCCAGCACCCTGTTTTGACTATGCAGATACTGTACACAAATGGTGCACATATATACATGCAGAGAAACCATCCACACATACAAAACTTCAAAGAGCAAAACTGTAAGCCCTGCACTTTCCTGACAAGTACAAAATTAAGGCAGAGGGCAGGTCAACTCCAAAATGCTGTGAATGAACAGACAGTCACCACTTAGCCTGCTAATTCAGCTTCTGTGCTGTAAGAAATGCTTTGGGATCATGGCCATCAAGTTCAAACTGCTGGCCCTACCCATACACAACCAAACCACGTGGTATCCTCCATGGTGACACAAAGATGATCAACAGTGCCAGCATACCTGTAGAATCCTGTCTTGGGAGGCTGGTGTCCGTGGTGTTCTCAGAGCGATGCTGTTGTTTGTGACATTGTACTCAGACAGGAGAGTGCTAGAAGCAGAGTTTGTGATTCCAGACTCCTCTGCCGTCTGCCGTGCAATTTCACTGGCCTGGCCTACCTTGACCACTTCCTGGAGTTCAGCATCTGAAATCTAAAGGACAAGACCAGCCCTGTTAGTTCCTTTAACAGGGAACAGTACAGGCTAAACATCCCACATTTCAGAGAACGACTTGCTGAAGTTGGGTCAAGGGCAGAAAGACCTCTCTGTACCACTTAATTTTGCCTGGCTTTAAAATTTCCAAAATACATTTTAAGTCTTCCTTTTACTATAGGGGAAAAAAATTCACATTATAAATAACTGTAATGGCTAGATTTCTATATTCAAAAGTGTTTTATTGGTTTTATTAATTCTTACAGGATTGCATACAATATTTACTGATCATATTTAACACCTCGAGTTCTTCCCAATCTAGTCCACCCTCCTTATCCACCCAGCTTTGTGGTTTCTTTTTGTAAACACAGAATGGATCATACATGTTCATGCTACCCTTACACAGGAACCATGTTAAATTTTGTATTGTTCTAATGATGTGTACATGTTAGGCATAGTTAAAATATTTTAAATCAATATATTGACAGATTGATTGCACCAAGAACCTAAGTACTTGCACAAAACTATTAATGAGAAGAAAATACTACTGAAAATCAACTAAGTATCACACAGTCCACTAAACCACAAGATCTCTAGGAAAATCTAAAAGTGTTACTTCTATAATTTTACCAAAGAAATATCCTTAGAAATATTAAGGAAAAATTCAATTAACTACCAAGAACTGCCACTACTAGAAGCAGAAGCACAGTAACAAAACTGAGTTCATGCCCTCATCAATGGACTTTCTTCATGTGGCTCTCCATTAGATTGTGGTTTCTTGAGCATTAAGCACAAGTCTGAGACAGCAGTCCACCAATATTTGCTGAATATAAGCATGTAAATTCACAGGATGACGACTGTTCCGATTACCTGAGGGGCAGGCAGCACAAGTTTGCTTCTCTTTTTAGTAAACTCAGAGACACCACTAGTTTGAAGGATAGCTGATGGTAAATCAGATTCCTTTTTCCTTTTTAAATGCTGTTTGTCTTTTTTTCTATCTCTTCCTTCTTTTTCACTGTAATGGATCAAGACAGAAAAAAAGATTATACACAGGCAATAATATCTAGAGCTATGTAACTATTAAGACTTTAAACAATTTCATTTCTAAGGAATTTTTTAAAAGTAGGGCTGGAGAGGTGGCTCAGCAGTTAAGAGCACTGACTGCTCTCCCAGAGGTCCTGAGTTCAATTCTCAGCAACAACACGGTGGCTCACAACCATCTGTTACGGGATCCAATGTCCTCTTCTGATGTGTCAGAAGACAGCTACAATGCACTCGTCATATATATAAAATAAATAAATAAAATCTTTAAAAAACAAAAGTAGTACATTAAGCTATTCCTACATAACTAATCTAGTACATTTGAGAAAAATAAACTTGGAACAGTTACAGAATTATTAACAAAAGATAGACACTAATTTAAAAGTACTACAATTTAAAGCCTAAAACTATAAAAGTAGTAAAACATCTGTCAAAAAATACAAGACATTTACTATGTTACATCCGCATAGAAACATATGTGAGCAAAAGAAAATGATGTTTATGCAGAAAAAGATAAATGAAGGAGACAGAATTAAAATACATCAAGTGTTTAAATCTCCTCATTATTGTTATAATTTTTAAATTCATGTAAGTTATTTTGGGGGTTGGGAGTACACCATGTGCAATGGTGTGTCTGTGACATTCAGAGATAACTGGCAGGAGCTTGCTCTCTCCTTCCACCATGTGGGTTCCAGATATCAAACTCAGATCATCAGGTTTGACGGTGGGTACCTTTACCTGCTAGGCCATCTTGCTGCCCAAGTTAAAAAAAAAAAAAAGTAAAGAAAAAGGGCATGTTCATGACAAACCAAACATTGTTAGACACTTAAACCAGCCTCAGGCAGTATGTTAAAAAAAAAAAAAAAAACTACCTATCTTCTTCCCTACCACAAACAGGTCTACCCCATTCCAAATGCCTAGCTTTCTTCTTTAATCTATTTGAAGAGTCTACCTAAACAATCTTCTTTAATCTATTTGAAGAGCCTACCTAAACAAAGTCCCTAAACACTCAAGAAAATTCTGCTGTAAAGTGCTTGATAACTAAATAAAAATTCCTATCAACAGACTCACAGGAACCCCTAATATCTCTAAAATGAGCAAAGAGAGATAGAAACAGAAATGCCTCTACCTATCTGCATCAAGTATAAAGATTTAAGAATATAGCAAACACTTTTTTCTTTTCTTTGTAAGAAAAAAAGGTAAATATTTTCCACTTTAAAAATAGAACAGGTTAAACCAATGAGATGACAATACACAAAAGCATTTGTGACATAAACTCAATGATATGAACTGACTGCCAGAACTCTGAAACAGAGGTGGAAAGAACCAACTTCATAAGGGTGTCTTGGCTGTGACCTCCACATGCACTCCAGGGGGAAAACACAAACACTCCCACTCCTAGAGCCAGAGGAATGGAATCAGGGGAATTCCTAGAGCTCATACACCAAAACTGTTGAGCTCTAGGCCATGAAAATCTTCATTCTCGACAAAGTGGGGCTGAAATTACAGCTCAATGATAGAGCCCCTGCCTAGAATGGGGTGGGGTGGTAGTGGGGTAGAATACCAGTCAACAGTTCCTAAGGAACAACACTCACGGTTGATCTCTCTTCTCCAAATACACAAGCACACACTCACATATACCCACCAACACAAACACACACCCAGAGGGAACACATACAAGCAAATAATAAAATAAACCAGACTAGATTTTGATAAGATTTCTTCAAGTCATTAGCAAAAGATCTAACTTGTTACAAAAGTACAAAAATATAAAGATGTCACTGGTAAAAAAATAAGTAAGTTAAGCATAGTGGTGTTTAATCCAACACTAGGAAGGCAGAAGCAGGCAGATCTCTGTAAGTTTGAGAACAGCCTGGTCTACATAATGAGTTCCAGGACAGCTAGAGCTACATAATGAGATACTATCTCCAAAAAAAAAAATGTAAACAAACAAAAAATATGTCATTAGTAATAGTAACTGGGCTGGAGAGATGGCTCAATGATTAGGGCACTGGGTGGCTACTCTTCCAGAGGACCCTAGTATGATTTTTAGTACCCATACAGTAGCTCACAACCATCTGTAACTCTAGTTCTAGGAAATTCAATGTTCTCTTTCTGCCCTCCATGACTACCAGGCACACATGAGGTACACATACACACAGGCAAAACACCCACACAGGCTCAAAAAAAAGAAAGATGTCATCAGTGAGTAAACAGCCTACTGAAACTCAAGCACTAAGAAACACACATCACGTCAGTGAGATGCTTCAGCAGGTAAAGGTACCCGACTCCCAAACCTGACAACCCCATGATCCATGTGGTAGGAAAGAAACAACCTGTTGTCTGGACATAGGTGCCATAATATACAAGCCACACAAATATATACAAAATACTTACACACTTACACAATAAGCAGATAGAATGTATCTTGTATACTAACAAAACAGCCCAGGTTCACTGATTTTCTCACAAAGATAAACTCATTAGATACGAAAAAGCATAAGAAGGCTCCATCACCCTAAACCCAAAGAGCCTGGCAGACAGTAAAGGCTTCCCGGAGTTCTACTGCTCCTATTTCCAAACTCAGAGGGACTCACGATCTTAGCTCTCCGTCAAGATCCTGCTGTCTTAATTTCCTGAAATCTGCATCAAGGGTCTGGTAATTCTCCTCAGAAGTATCATAAAAACCAAGAGCAGGCTTTTTTTCAAATGGGATTTCAGCATTATAATCAACTCCTCTCTTCTTTTTCCTTTTCTTCTGAATCTCTATACCAGCTGCTCGAAGCTCTCGTCTTTTCTGGAGGGCAGCGAGGCGCCTAAAAAAAAAAAAAAGCAAAGTCACCTTGAAAATTAACACTGCCAGGCAGAGACGGGTTAATCCAACATCACTAAGAAAACTATCTGGTTATCTGGAAAAGAAGTATTTACTCAAGCCCTTACCTCAAACCATTTGCCAAATTCCAATTCTGATTTAAAAACACAGTAAGACAAAAGGGAAAGTAGAGAAACTGAAAGTAATTGTGTGCCTTCTCTCTCTGAATAAGAATATACCTGGGGGACACACAGTGGATGTTACAGTTTGCTCAACAAGATGGGTTTCTTTGGTGGTGGTGGTGGTGGTTTTGGTTGTGGGGGGCTTTTTTGTTTTTGAGGGGGATGTTGCAAGGGTAGAAGGGACTGGGAAATAAGTGGGATTGGGGTACATGATGTAAAACTTACAAAACATCATTAAAAAACTGTTTAAAAAAAGAATATAGTCACTAGCCAGGTAGTGATGGTGTAGACTTTAATCCCAGCACTCAGGAGTTCGAGGCCAGCCTGGTCTACAGAGTGAGTTCCAGGACAGCCAGGGCCACACAGAGAAACCCCATCTTGAAAACAAACAAATAAACAAAAGAATATAGTTACTAACAAATTAGGTAGCAAAAAAGATGAATAATGTTGAGATTTAAATTTTTTGCAACACAAATTGCAACAAAAAAATCATAAAACAAATATATACTTGCTATTAATATAAAAATATACTTGCTATTAATCAGAAAAATACATTTTATGTACAAAGTGGACCTGGGAGAAGTCAAGAGGTGAGTATGATCAACATATGTATGAAATTCTCAAAGATAAAATAAACTACTATTTTTCAAGTTTATGTAAGCTTTTAAAGATTTATTAACTTAATTTATGTGTATCTATGTGAGTGAATTCCACATGCATACTGTGCCTGAGGAGACCAGAAACAGGCACTGGAATTCTTGGAACTGAAGTCAAGGTAGCTGTAAGCTAGAACGTAATTGTAGTCCTCTTCAAGACACTTAACTTAACCACTAAGCCATCTCTCCAGTGCTCTAAGTAGAATTTTTTTAAAACTCTAATGTGGAAAAAAAAAAAGAGTAAGTAGAAATAATGGAATTTTTACTTAACTAGCAATCACAAATGAGTGTGCACTATTTCCGCATTATCTAGTTACTGTCTTTCTGAACTTGATTTTAATGGTAAGTGTGAAAACCAAGGCTGGGCATGGTGCTGCATACCTTTAATCCCAGTCCTTGAGACGTACCAGGAGGCAGCTGGATCTCTGAGAGCTTGAGGCCAGCTCTAGGCCAGAACTACCTAGTGAGCCAAGTCTCAAAAAGAGGTATAGAAGCAGACCGTCTCCAGCAAAGTTAACAGAAAAACCAACTGGATGACTTTCTCAAAACAAATTTAGAAACACACATTAAAAGCCTACAGTTTTCATTTTAAAAGCCACCAACTCACTTCTCTGACTTCAACCAAAAATAAATAAATAAACCAACATAAACGAGAACTCAATCAAAGACTGTTTTGCTAAACACTGGCCACAATCTAATTTACCAATAAGAATTTAATGAATGAATTTACAAAGGATATAAAACAAGGCTTTATGTAATATAGGCTTTATGTAATACAAGCTTTATGTAACTTCTGAAACATGTAACTTCTATATAATCCTTTAAAAGCTATTAATCTACTCTTTCATAGAAAGAGGCCTAAGGTAGAGCTGAGTAAATGTTACACAACTCACAAATAGAAAAGCATGCAAACGTTACATGTATATCTATCAGCCGGAGTCAACGGCAGCAATATTTAACAGTGACAATCACCAGAGGGTAAAATTCCATTTAATTCCATTTTTCCTTTGTATTTCTTAATGAAGCTATTAATTTTAGTGAGTTAATAAGTAAAGTTATTCACAGTATTAAAGATAGAAAAACAAATTACACACCAGTATACCAGTATACACAAGAGTGACAGCCAGTATGGAAGTCCAAGAACAAGAAACACACTCCCCAGAAAACATGAAAAAGGAAAGGCATGGAAAACATATAAACATTCAAGAAAATCTAGCTAACCTTGGTAAGAAAGACAAGCAGTTAACAGCTGCAGAGACTCTCTTCCTTCTACCCACCAGCTCCTAGAGGAGGAAACTCCTCTCCTGCCAGCTAGCAGTCAAAGGCTTTCAGTACAGGAGAGCCAGGCATCAGCATTTCTTGCCCTGCCTCAGACACCCAGCTACGCAAGCTCCCTTCTTCCACCCAAACAATGGTTCACACCCTGGGCACACTACCACTGGGAACACAGCCCTGAAAGCTCCTTCTGCCTCAGCTTCTGACTCTACCCTGGGAGAGATTTAAGGACTGCCCACCATACCTGATCCCCAGCCTACTGAGCTCTTCAACCAAGAGTGTCGATCAGAAATGCAGTCGGAGCCCTGGAGAAGCAGCAAGACCTAGAGCCCTGACTCTCATCTCCACCATGAACTCTATCCAGCCAAAGGGCACTTTCAGAAGCGGTGAAAGCAGTGGTCAACGGCAGGTGGGAAGAGGACAGGCTCAGTGGAGACTGAGGCAATCTGTGAGCCAACTAGCGTGATAGAGACTGAAAGATTGACTCTCCTGGAATCAGAATAAATCTCAAAAGCTGATCTCAGAACTATCTCTTCGAAGGAATTCAAACTGGATCGGATCCATCTACACAGCAATTTATAACCCCAGAACACTGCTGAAATCACTATAACAAACAACTGAGTCCAATCAGGAAAAAGATATCAACCCTACCCCAACCACACCATCCCACGGTGACTGTGGTATCCAAGACTCCTCCTCCTCTTCCTCCCTGAGCAGCAACACTACAGGCTGCTAATCTCTGGGAGGACAGCAATATAATATACTTCACTAAAGGAATAAAATTGGTCTCAAAACAAACAAAAATAAACTGGATGGGGATGGGGGTCCAGTCCCCACAACTATTATAATGTTATCATATACAAAACATGCAATTTTCAAGTACAAAAATGAGATTTGTGAGGAAATCAGTGGGTTACAAGGGAACCCCAGTAAGATTAACAAAAGGCTGTGTATGAGCTGTGAGTCTCCATGGAGTGATCCAGTTAAGTCTCTATGTTTATGAGTTTACAGACATAAACATCTACAGTGAAAGAGAAGCCTTGAAGGATGAATTCCAAAAGTAAATTTCATTCTTTAAATACAAGAACAAAGACATAACACATTCGAGAACGTTCCGATCGTCATGCTAGTGGATCTAACTAAAGCATGTGCTACTGCATCAACCATGTCCTAACACAACAATATTAACAGAAGTGGAAGGGAAAGCATACTCATTTATAATAAATCAAAGTGCTTTTAAGTTTTAAGAAAAAGAGAAAAGTAATTTAACCTCTGTAGTAGTCTTGTACCATGCTTCACGCACAGGTCAGTCCTACCTGTTGCAAGATGTATGCAGCATACAGCTTACATAAACACACAGAAGCTACAAGAAACGGTAGGGTGAATTAAAATCTGCAGAGATGTACTTTAATCAATCAATCCTAACCAAACCTAAAAGTCTTTCACAGACTGACTACCGTATTCCTTGCCAACTCATATGACTAAATGGCTTTCAGCAAACTGGGTTCCCAAACAGCCCTAGACAAAACAGGAAAAAGTATTTTTCCAATTTTACATTACTTAACCCTCAACAGTCTACAGAATAGAAAAGTAGCTAAATGTGAAGAAAACACAGCACCTTCTCTTAGATGGGACAGGTCTCTATCCCATATGCATCACACTCCCATCAATTCTGACTACTCTTACACTAGGTGAAGGGCCGGCTATGCCAGAAAACATCCTCCATCCTAGGATCCAGGACTGGGAATAGCTACCCAACAGTTGAAGAAGCAAGTTCTAGATAGCACAGGAGTCAAAAGGCTCTAGGTAGACTGTAGAGTGAGGAGTTTGTCCAATACTTGAACCCACAGGCTGCCACACAGTTCAGATGGTATCTTTACCAACTTTATCTTGGCTTCTGGGCATCAGAATGATATAAATTCAACCAAAAGGAAGCAAAGAGAAGGTGGGGGAAAGCCTGAGCCAAGAACAATGCCTAATACAATTCACTCACTTTTTAAATGAAGATTTCTCTGACAGACTAGAATTTGGCTCATAGCTCATTAACTGCCTCTATGATCAGCCTCACAGCCAGTACCTGCCCAACACTAACCAAGGAGGACGAAGAACTGGTAACTGACAGTCATGAGAAAGCCACTTGAGGCCACGATGCTACAAGAGATCAAACACAGCACAATGGGTCAAATATTTGCCCATAATTTCTGCCATGCTCTGTAAACTTTTTAAGTGTACTTTTCCTATAACTATTCTGAAATGGCTAGGGAGAAAATACAGAAATTGGTTTTATTTGTTCCAGAACAGTAAAGACACTAAGGAATAATAGCAAAATAGGAATTGATCAGCTCAGACTAGTCTCCAACTAGAGCAGATAGCCATCCAGTTTCCTGAGCCTAAGGATGCACAACTAATTATTCAACAAAGAATAGAAACAACGTGCCTTGCTTCTTCCAACTGCTTTTCTCTTGCTTTCCTCTTAGCCTTCTTTCCTTGAGTATTAGCCAGACGGGCTCGAGCCTCAGAAAGCATCTCAAGTTCATCTGCAAAAATAAGGACAAAAGTAAGTTCCTCGTCAACATCAGCAGTCAGGCATATCCTAGCGCTTACAATGACAAGAGCATCAAGGTACTCACTAATGTCAGGTTACAAGTCACCCCATTACTAACTTGCTGACTATGTAAGCCTGGTCTCACTTTTACCTCTGTGAATATGGTTCCCATTAAAATCAGAATAAGAATGTCTACTTCAGAGATGCTAAGAAGAGCTAAGAAAAATGAAGCTATCAAGCAAATAGTAAGTATTCACTCCCAGAAAGCTCTACTGCAGGGACACAGCCATTGTCACTAACAAACTGGCACAGCACCAGCAGAGAAGTTAAGCAACAACTCATCCTGAAGAACCAACAGCCTTCACAGGCATGTTTTCCCTCAGAACTGTTTCTTCTCCAAGACATTTTCTACAGCTTTCTCAAACGAACAACGAAAAAGTCATAAAGATGGGTAAGACTCAGATTCCACTCAGACCATAGTCCTCTCTCTTCCCTCAGTAAAAATTACCAACTCAGTATCTCCAGGGAAGGACCTGGCACCTCTAGCTTTAAAAGTTTCCCAAGTGGAAAGGATGTAGACAGCTTCGTCACAGACTAGTCACTCTTGGGAACCACTGCATTCAGACTTTAAATCTGAAAAACTACCAAGTACCTGCAAACAAGTAAAGTAGGTATTACTTCCCACCCTCAGCAGGAAGACTCAAACTCAGAGAGCATACATGAACTCAAACTCAAGAGAGCATACATGAACTCAAACTCAGAGAGCATACATGATTCAGCTAAGGTCCAAGAGCTAATAAAGAACAGAGACGGAGCCAAAGCCCAGTGCCCGACTCCTGACCCAATGTGTCGTCACAGCGTCACTGCTGGTCTCCGGCACAGCTCCTGCAGCAGCTCTTTCCTAGAGAGTAAATCCCCCCACAGTCAGAGAGACGGCAAGGTCCAATATGCTAGCTGTTGCCTCTCAGAAAGGGATTGAGACAGGATCCTGCGAGGCTCCCCACTCACCTCTTGGATGTCTGCCTACTACACTGCTCAACTCATTAAATGAAATGAAGAAACAGAAAATAAGGGGCATCATCAAAAAAAGCAGTCACTCTAATAAAAACAGAACCAGACACATTGGGGAGACACCTAGGACTCTATCTAGACAGTCAGGCGTTCAGGAGGAACTAAGAAGAGTGTGAATGAAGAAGGCCTCAGTCATGCACTGTGAGCAGAAGCACTCCCCAGCATCCATCCACTCACCCTCATCCATGTCAATTGGATCAGGACGAGCTGGTTTGGTTTCTGGGTTTGGGTCTATCTCTCCAGGCTTAAGTTTTCGGGGGTCATCCGTTGTTTCCTCTTCATTGTCCCTTTGGGCAGTTTTGTCCCTTGGAGGAAAAAAAAAATAAATCCCAGATGAGTTAGTCACAGTATCATACCTTTTAATATGAGAATTACCAAGGTTCTAGCTCCGGTACTTTCTTTCCCAAAATAAAAAACTGATGGGCATTATGGAAAACAGCACCTTTACAACTGCTTCATGTGACTAACATGGCAGTATAATTCTCTAATTCAGTATTTCCACTCATGATGAAACAAGCAGCCCTTCCTCACAAATGTATAACATCCAGGCAAATACACTCCTGGAACAGAACAGGAAGGTCCTAACAAACTCTCAGCAGCACAGGTGATGGGGCCTCATGCACTCACTCTCACTCTAAGATGAGTGTGACTTGCACACTGTAAACTACCCTTCTAAAGGAGAAGCAGAAGACATAATTTTGCTCAACCATGTGACATCTCCAATACAGAATTCAGTGACTTTAGTTTCTATGGCTTTAGTCACAGGCACAATTAAGCTGGAAATAACTCTAAGTTTGTTCAGCACATTAACATATACATAGTCTTCAAGACGCTCTGAGGAGCACTCACAGGAGGAATTCATAGTGTTCCAAGCACTGGGCTGCTGTTCTTCCTATGATCGGAGCAATGGTCCTCCACTGCGTTGGCATCAGCTTGGCCAAGTGCAAGAGTTTTTCTTCCTCTTCTCTGGACCATTCAGTTTTTTTAATACTTGGGTCCAGCCATTCGTACCTATTAAAGACAACATAGCAAACATTAGTCAGCTACCATGTACTGACTCTAAGATCACAGGCTCTCATCCCTCAATCACTAACACTAGTCTTTCTGACAAGACAATACATTGTGAAGTTAAACTTACTCATCTCCCCTCCACATTACAATGTATTTTAAGTATGTAAGATTAGTAATACTTAAAAACCTCATAGACAGAAGTGCAAAATGCAATCATGGGAGTTCTTTTTTATTAGTATTTATTTTTATTTGTTTAACCTTTTTGTTGTTGTTGTTGTTGTTGTTATTTAGTTTGGTTTTTGTTAGTAATTGTGGTGTTTTGTTTTGGGATTTTTTTGGTTTTTCGAGACAGGGTTTCTCTGTGTAGCCCTGACTGTCCTGGAACTCCATCTGTAGACCAGGCTAGCCTCATACTCAGAGATCTACCTGCCTCTGCCTTCCATGCTGGGATCAAAGGCGTGTGCCACCACCACCGAGCACTTGTTCTTAGCTTTTCTGAAGTTCTAAAAGTATCAGGAAAAAATAGTGCCTTGTATTATTTATACTATGATTTCACTGCCCTTCCTCATGTGTGAGTCCCACAGCACCTTCACTTACTTCTCTGAGCATCCACGTAAACCCACTAAGTGCACCAGAGCTCTGTGCTTCCATCTGCTGTGTTTTAATGTATGTAGAGCTCCTACGGCACCCTCCATCTTCTAACATGGCCCACTCCGCCCTGTCTGTCAGGTACTGAGATGGGTGAGAATCTGTCCAGATGTCTAAGTCTTCACTGCCCCTGGGGCTCGAGCTAGGCTGAAGCTGAACGGCATGAGGCCACAAGAGGGAAGGGAGTCAGACCACTGCAGCCTGAGAGCCACTCTCCCTCTGCTCGGCATCTGACCCGTCCCACCATCTGAGTCCGGGTCACTTCATACACTCCAAATGATGTTCCTCACAGCACATAGGCTGCAGCTGGGATGGGCTCATTCAAGTCAAGAACCACCATCCTGTTGTTAAGTCAACAAGGGGACACACAGGTGGAATGTTGCATTCTAGTGTAGCAAGGATACAATATTGCTGTCCTATGACTAACCACTGTGACCTAGCTTTTAAAAAAAAAAAAAAAAATCAAGCACTGTTTAGCATTTATTTCTTTGGGAAAGAAGTCCTAATACAACCAATGTATAAACTTTTAGATCACAACTCATTCAATGAAGGAGGCCCAGCTGCCTAAGACTTTGTATTGTGTCTCACAAGGCACTCAATAAGTACATTACCTCACTTGGACAAGGAGTCACAACTCATCAATTAGTGCTAAGCTGTGAGAAAACAGGCAGGGTAAAGAGGAGGAAAAATGGTTTGCCCAAGACATGGGAAGCAAGGGGCATGTACATCTAAGGCCCTCTCTCCATGCTTCCTTCCATATCACAGTGCATGCTGGGGTGGGGTGTGTGTGTGTGTGTGTGTGTGTCCAAGAGCCATCTCACTCATCATGGTGGGGACTGAGGTCATGCTGTTTTCCACTTACTGACTAGTACATACCATCTAGCTTTGCACTGCTTTGCCGATTTCCTATGCAGCAATGAGGCAATCCTAGACCACTGGTTTTTCCCATATTTCATTACCGCTGCTTTCAGAATTTCATCCTAGAAAAGTTACCAAAGAGAATGCATTCAGTCACAAGCCTCTAAATGAGAAAAAACAAAACTTAAGTTAGTCCCTGCAGAGTTCCTGTAGAGAGGAATCATTTAAAATGATTTAAAGTCATTTAATCAAATTATACAATCATTTTCAAAAAAAGTATGGAAAGTTTATTAACAGTTAACAATAACTAGCATAAAAGAATCAGGAGATGACTGGGAGGCAGCTCAGTGGTTAAGAGCATGTACTGCTCTTTGCAGAAAATGTGAGTTCAATTCCCAGCACCCTCATCAGGCAGATTACCTGATTAACTCTAGCTCCAGGGGGAAAAAAAGCCTCTAGCCACTAAAGGCACTTATATTCATGTACAGACACATAATTTTAAAAATAAAATATATCTCTTTTTAAAAACAGAAAAAGGACATCTTACCTGCCCCTCAACAAACTGAAGGTGGGAAAAGTCAAAGTTGAAAACACTACTTTATGACAGACAAAATTATTCACCAGTATGTACCTGCCATTCTCTTCACAAAGGTAAAGTTCACATACATTTATATATTTACTAAAATAAAAACCAACAACAGAAACAGAAACAAATCTTCCTGAATGTCTACCTTGAACCAGGTCTTATATACTCCCAGAGAGAGAACCAAAGGGGCAACTTGAGCCTCTGGTTCAACACACTATGACCTCTCCAGCATCCTACTCAGCACAACAGCCCACAGCCCCCTCTACGTCATCAGTCAGCACCGTGTCTACTCCAGTCGCCAAGCAACTGTGTCACCAGAGTACCCAAAGCATAACCCAATTCCCAGACAACCTGCCAAGCGACCTCACAGATACAGAGTCACAGATGAATGCACCTGAGCACTTTACTTTTAGGCTTTTTCCACAATGAACTTGAATCGCCTGCCTTACACTCAAGGCCCTCCACTCCATCTTCTCCCCCACTACTAACTGGTACAGTACCCACCCAGTATACATTAAGTCCGGGGTTAGATTCCAGGAAGACTTTGCATGGCAATACGCAACTGTTATCCCAGCCCTGAAGAGGATCAGAAGGGTCACCCTCGTCTACACAGCAACTGCGTAAGACCCTATCTCAGACACAAACACACACCTGCACGGTTCTGACCACTCCAGAGGAGGCCTGCTGTTACTGGATCTTGTGATTCTGCTTCTTCCTCAGAAGCTGCCTCTTCTAGTTTAAATTGCCTTAGTGCATGCAACTCCCTTTTCAGTGCCTCCATTTGTAACTTTAGTGAAGGTTTTCTATACTTCAACACATCTTCAACCAAATGCATGTGGCAGGTACCTATCCTACAAGATTCATTCCCAAACATCACCAAGCAGCCTGCTTCATACTAGAGTGCCAAAGCCTGCTCCTCCCGTCCTGCTGTCTGATGAGGACAACAGCAACTCATTTTTACTGAAAGCCAGCTGTGTTCGCAATGTTCCAAACTGGCAACTCATTTCAAGAACTTAAATACTATTATTTGCCTTATAAAAATGAGCAAACTGAGGCTCTGAGGAGTAACTCAGCCGGAACCACATAGAAGTGACTGCGAAAACAAAGTAAGCTGTAGCAAAGGAAAACTAGGTGCCACAAAACCAGTAGACAACTAACTCTCAACGTGACGATTAACGAACGGCCAAGGACTCTAAGAAGCGTTCTCAGCTGAGTCTGGAGGATGGTCAGAAAGATACCAAGCAGTAAGGAGCTATAGCTCAAGAAACCACAATGGGGAAAGGCTCAGACATGCGAGTAAATGCACGTTAACTTCATTTCTATTTTATTTCCTTTCTTCCCCCATTCCGTTCACCGTGACATAATCTACTACATTTCTGGAAGCAAACACCGTCATACGTAAGTCTGTCCTAACTGGCTTCTATCCCGGCAAGGGTGGCGTGACCGGAACGGTAAGAGAAAGGACCTTGGGGGGAATTCGCAGAACGGACAGACTATGCCCGGGGTAGCAGATAAGCAGGGAGATGCAGACGTAAACGCGCAGCCTGCCCGGCTGTAAGGAAGTCACTGAAAAAAACAAAGTTGCGGCCACAGCGGCTTCCAGCAGAGCGAAGCGCGGTGTACGAGCTGAGGAAGGAAGGGGCTGCAGAAAAACCAAGCTCCGGCGGAGGAACCGTCGGGGCCGCCACCGGGTTGCAGAGGACATGGAGGGGGCGCGTCCCTAACTGAACAGATAAGTGTCCAAGGGCCTAGCAAACGCCAGGCGGGGAGCGCCGAGCAACAAGCCGCGACCTCGCCCCCCGCAGTGAGCCGGGTGACCCGCGTCCGCACCCACGCAGGGCAAGGGTCCCCCCCCACCGACACCCCCCGAGACAGCCACGGCTCGCGGAGCTCCCCGCGCGTGCGCACACGCTACCGGACCCGGCGGAGGGCTGCGGACGGCGGGAAAAGCTGCCTTACCTCCGTATTCCTCCACACGCCCCCTTTGATCATAATCCGGGGCATCTTGGCGGCGGAGTGTCCCGGCAAGCGGCCGAGAGGAGCTTCGAGAAAGTAGCAACGGCGCTTCGGTCACGGGACGCAAAGAGGCCACTTCCTCCCAAAAGCGACCTTCTGCTTTGAAGAGATCTGCGCAGGCGCGGCGTAGGCAGCGCCCTCATCCCCCGGTAAATCTCGCGAGATCTTAGCGGCCGACGGCAAAAGACGCGGCTAGTTTGGAACCTTGAGACTGACGGAAGATCCTCAAACCGCAGAGGCCAAAGCGCCCGACGTCGCGCGCAGGTCCGAGACAGGTGGGAGGAAAACAAAACTCTCGCGAGATGCCAGAGGTGGCACTTGGGCGGGAACGCAGTGAAGGGATTGGTCCTGACGTCACGCGGGTGGGCGGTACGGGGGTGGAGCGGAAAAGTGTCGGGGGTGTGGCGTTCCGAAGCACGCTGGGTCGGAAGGGAGCTTTGTTAGTTTATTTAACAGAGCGCCGCGCCCGGCGTCTCGGCGACCAGAACTTGGCAGAAGCCTCAGGGAGATGCGGTAGTGTGAGTCTGTTCTCTTATCCTTCCTAGTGAAGAGGTCAGCTCAGGGACTTTGGAAAGGTCGTGGGACGCTTGGCCCTCCGGAAGGGAGAGGCTGATTAACGTTCTTCCGACCACAGTGGGGGGAACCGACCTGCAGGTCAGGACAGACCATTGGCCACCAGGGAAGCCCTTGCCACCTCCTTAAAGACCAATCAGTTAAAAGTCACACTGTTCTGCCAATCATATTGTGCCTAGTTCCTGTTTCTCTATGCTGCCCCTGAAAACTGTTTGTTGTTTTGTTGGTTTTTCGAGACTAGGTTTCTCTGTAAAGTTGTAAAGTCCTGGCTGTCCTGGAACTCACTCTGTAGACCAGGCTGGCCTCGAACTCAGAAATCCGTCTGCCTCTGCCTCCCAAGTGCTGGGATTAAAGGCGTGCAACACCACCGCCCGGCTCTGAAAACTGTTTTAAGAGCTCACTGTACTGAGCTGCGCGGGGTCGCCGCCTCTCCTTCGGGTGCAGGACGATCTCAACGCCTTGGAACAATAAATTCCTCTTGTTTTTTTCGTGGTTCACTCAGGGGGGTCCTCGTTAAGCTAAGGCTCGGCAGTGTCTTACACTAGAAGGGCCAGGCAGACTTCACCTCAGCCCCCAAGGAGTTCAAGAAGATGCCCTAGGAATCCTCAGAAAACGTTACACCAGTGGTTTTCACTCATCCCTCACATGTTGGGCCTCTAGAACAAACTCGGTGAGTTGCGGGAGTCTTGCCCCTGGAATCCTGTGTCATCTGAAGAGTGGAACTAAGGCCATCACTTGTGCATAAAATCAGAGGACAGCTGGAATTCCACAAAATCTCAGTGAGGTGGAAATTGTCAAACTCTGCCATTTCCTCTCCCTCATTCCCATGCAGACTTCTTCACTTTTCCACAGCAAGTACTTGGTGCCACCCCAGGTCCTTAGGGAAAGATTTTATTCTGTGCATAGCGGCTCTTGTGTGTTGCCATTGTTTGTGCTTCTGTTTTACATCTTCTAGAAGACAGATTTCTGAGTTCGAGGCCAGCCTAGTCTACAGATTGAGTTCCAGGACAGCCAGGGCTATATAGAGAAACCCTGTCTCGAAAAACAAGAAAAAAAGAAAAGAAAAAAAAGAAATAAGAAGTTATATCAAAATACCACTGCTTTCAGTTGAGAGGGAAGTAGTGTATGTTATGAAGAGCACTTGGGTTTAGTAACCTACAGTCTCATTTCACTCTTGTCAACTGACAGGATAACAGGTGACAAGCCATTTTCTGCCTCTGGTACTCTTTGCAATGCTTTCTTGTAAAGATGTGTAACATTACCTCCTGCCAACATCACTTAGTTGTTTGGTTTTTATCCCACACACCCAGGTCGAACACCACTTGCTTGACCAGATCAAAGCAAACCTGAAGACTCCTCCCTGGAGATTTTATCGATAGGATCCAAAAGAGGTCAGTGTTTCTGCTAGCTGATGAGTCTCTAACCTACAAATTGTGTGACACCTAACAATTGTGTTTTGAACTACACATGGGCCCTGGATCCAGAACATTCCCAAGTCATGCTACTTCCATATTCCCCTATTGGATTTAGCCATTGGAGTTCACTTTCCGTTATTTGTAATCAAGAGTCCTAATAAATCCACAGTTGAACCAGTCCTCACATAGGCTATTCCAAAGGTTCATGACAATGGGTTCTTCCACTCAACATTCTGTCATCCTATGCTAACTTTAAAAAAGTATCTCTTCCTTAAGACATGTTAAATGTCACCTTCTAGAAGATTGTTACAAAGGATTGATATTTTGAGAACCAAACATACTTCAGCAACCTTTTGAGACCTACCATGTCTGTGATGTGGATTCAAGTCAGATGCGCCAGCATTGCCATTTTTACTATGTGAACTAGTCCTCCAAGTGCCGTGCAGGCCCCTCTGTGCACAGCAGCCCTGGCGACTGTCCTCGAACACCTTTGAACATAGATGCTGTGCCCTCAGGATGCAGTAGATGGAAAATCCGGAACCTCTGAGATCAGAGCCCCATATCCAGAAACAAAGAGAAAGGTTCCACATCTTCCTCACTCACCCAACATACATTTCCCCAAATATCTGTCAGAAAAATCAGTTGCACAGGAAACTCCATAAACACGTTTCATAATTACTTCACTTCAACCAATTAAACGAAAAAAAAAAGACCCCCACATTTCCCATCCTCCACTTGACCAAAAGGAAAACCAGCAAGAACTAGTAAGATGAGGAAATCTTTTTTTCCCTGTTGTGAGTTGAAATTCATTTCCAACTAGATACCTTTTTTGACATCCTAACCCTTGGTACCTAGACATGTAGAACTCATTTGGAAACATTGTAGCATCTTCACAGATGTAATGGGGCTAAGGTGAGACCATAACTAGTGTGAAGCTAACTCTCCAGCCAGCGATCAGTGTCCTCATTAGGAAAGTGGCATGTACTTTTTTTTTTTTTTTTTTTTTTTTTTTTGGTTTTTCGAGACAGGGTTTCTCTGTATAGCTTAGGCTGTCCTGGAACTCACTCTGTAGACCAGGCTGGCCTCGAACTCAGATTCGCCTGCCTCTGCCTCCCAAGTGCTGGGATTAAAGGCGTGCACCACCGTTGCCCGGCTGTGACATGTACTTTTAATTCTTACCATTTATCACACCTCCTCTTATTGCAGTGATTTTCTCTCCTGTTTTAATTCTTAGACAAAACGTTCGTGCCTGGATTCCTGTGTCTCTGACTGATCCATGGCATAGGGGATCTGCTGTAAAACAAGTTAGTTATGCTCCAGGACGTACACATACGAAAGGACTCATTGGAATGATTTTTGTAGCTGTCATAGCTGCCACAGTTACCCTATTCAAAGTAAGCACTTGAAAATGATGTTTGATAACTCCCTTCTATAGTTTTCAGGACTGTGATGTCTATTCTTCGTTGTCAACTTGACTAAATCTGGAATCAACTACAACCCAGATATGGAGACCACACCTGTGAGAGATTGGCTGCTTAAAGTGGATGAATCCACTTCTAGTCCAGAGCTTTGAGGTAGGAAGACACACATCTTTAATCCGGATCTTGAGGTGGGAAGACACAGACCTTTAATTTGAATCTTGAGGTGGGAAGACACCAAATCTTTAATCCAAATCATGAGGTATGTCTAAGAAAGACATACCTTTAATATGAGCCATACCTTCAGCTGGACATCTATATAAGAACGTAGAAGAAGGAAGGTTTTGCTCTTTGTGTACTTGCCCTCGCCTTGCTAGCACATCCATCCCTTCACTGGCATTAGAGCCTACTTCTGGATTGCAGCATATACTGAAGACCAGCTGAGACGTGCAGCCTTGTGGGACTGAGCAACTACTAGATTTTTAGACTTTCTGTTCATAGCTAGCCATTGTTGGATTAGCTGGACTACAGGGGAAGGAGAGAGAGACTCATTCCCTAAGTTCTGTGACTCTAGAGAACCCTGACTAATAAAGACTTTGGTACCAGAAGTGGTTCTAGAGAAACAGAAGTATAAAGATGAATATTTTAAGTATCTGGAATAGGCATTTCAGTTCACCAGAGCCTTCAGCTACTGAAGCCATGCCAGTCACCCCGTCTCCTAAGAGCTCAGAGAGTACTGGAAGCCCGTGGTGTGAACTGTATTACAAACTTAAAGAGATAAATGAATTTGATTATCCTGACTCACCAATGGTGAGCAACAATGGATTAGGTGAGCCTGTATATGAAGCTTTCGACAGTTTGGGGGAGAATCGGGGCAGTGCTGCTGCTGGTTGGCTGCTTTTAGCATCTCTGGATAAACTGATCAAGGATAGGAATGAGCTCCGGGATAAAATCAACCACCTCCAGAATATGGTGAAGAACAACAAAGAACTTAGTGATAAGATTGACCATCTGCAGCTGCTCATAAAGAATCTAAAGGAAGAGAAGCTCCTCTCCAGCAGCCACAGAGCTGGATTTATGGAAAATCAAACCGAAGCTCTCGTTATAAGGTTGGCTGAACTACAGGGAAAATTCAAGTCCCAGCCTCGGAGGGTGTCAGCTGGTAAAGTAAGGGCATTAATTAGCAAAGAATGGGATCCTATAACATGGGGTGGGGATGTGTGGGAGGACCCTGTTGAAGCTGAGAACTTAGAATCCTCAGAATCTCAAGTGTTTACCTTACCTGAGGAAGTAGTACCCTCAGCCCCACCCCTTGAAATACTGCCTTTTTCACCTTTCACTGAGGAAATGAGTCCTTTATTGTCTATTAAACCAGCAGTGACTATCTCTGAAGGAAATGCCAGACAGGACAGTACTGATGTCCCTCAGAGCCCCAAAGTAGTTGCCTCTGGACCTATAACGAGACTTAAGGCAAAGCAGGCTCCTAGAGGGGAGGTAGACAGTGTTCATGAGGAGGTACACTACACTACTAAGGAGCTTAATGAGTTTGCTAATTCATTCAAGCAGAAGCCTGGGGAATATGTATGGGAATGGATTCTAAGGGTGTGGGATAATGGTGGAAGGAATATAAAACTGGATCAGGCTCAGTTTATTGACATGGGCCCTCTGAGTGGAGATTCTAGGTTTAATATGGAAGCTCGCACAGTTCAAAAAGGTGTCAAAAGTTTGTTTGAATGGTTGACTGAAGTGTTTGTCAAAAGATGGCCTACTGAGAAGGAATTGGAGGTGCCTGATATCCCTTGGCTTACTGTTGATGAAGGGATTTTAAGGCTCAGGGAAATTGCAATGCTAGAGTGGATACACTGTGTAAAACCCAATGCTCCACAATGGGAAGGCCCAGAAGACATGCCCTTCACTAATCCAATAAGACGCAAAATGGTAAGAGGGGCACCAGCACATTTGAAGAGTTTTGTTCTCTCTCTTTTGCTTGTGCCAAACCTTAGAGTTGGAGATGCTGCTGCTCAATTGGATGAATTAAATGCAATGGGCTTAATCGGTCCCCGGGGTAGCAGGAGCCCAGTGGCAGCACTGAATCGACAGAAGCAAGGTGGTCATAACTATTGTATGAGCAGCACAGACAATGCAATGTTCATAGTGGCATGACTCGTACGGACCCTTGGTACTGGCTCATCAGTCATGGTGTTTCCAGGCATGAAGTAGATAAGAAACCTACTGAATATTTGATCTGTATAAGCGGTAAAAGATCCCAAACAAATGAAAGAAAGGCTACATTGGATCACGGCAGAAGGCAATCTCAGCCAGTAAATCAGTTTTCAGATTTGAGCCAGTTTGCAGACCCAGAACCCCTTGAATGAAGGAGTTGCCAAGTGCCCCTGAGGAAGGACCTTGATAAAACACCTTAAAGTTTACTGTTAATTGTTCTCCAGACCTTCCCCAGAGGGAAGGGTAACTGTACACTAGGGGAAAGGAAAGAATCAGTCTTTCCAGGATCTACTGGATACTGTTCCGAATTGACACTGAATCTGGGAGATCCCAAGAACATTGTGGCCCTCCAGTTAGAGTAGGGGTTTATGGAGGCCAAGTAATTACTGGAGTTTTGGCTGAAGTCCTACTCACAGTATGTCCCTGAACTCATCCCGTGGTTATTCCCCCAGCCCCAGAGTGTATAATGAGATAGATATATTTAGAAGTTGGAAGATTTCTTACATTGATTCCGTGACCTGTGGGGTGGGGGGCTATTATGGTTGGAAAGGCTAAATGGAAGCCTTTAGAGTTGCCTCTGCCAAAGAAAATAGTGAATCAAAAACAGTATCACATCCCTGGAGGAGCTGCAGACATTGGTGCCACCGTCAAGTTCTTGAAAGATGCAAGGGTGGTCGTTTCTACCGCATCTCCTTCTAATGCTGCTATCTGGCCAGTTAAATGACAGTTGACCATCAAAAACTCAATCAAGTATTAACTCCAGTTGCAGCTTCTGTACCAGATGTAGTGTCCTTACTTGAGCAAATCTTCTGGTACATGGAATTCAGCTACTGATCAAGCAAATGCCTTTTTCTCAGAACCTATTCATAAGGACCACTAGATTCAATTCCATTTCAGATGGCAAGGTCAGCAGTATACCTTTACAGTTTTACCTCAAGGATGTATAGACTCTCCTGCTCTGTGTCATAACTTAGGTAGAAAGGATCTTGATTGTCTGACTCTTCCACAAAATATCACATTGGTGCACTATATTGATGACATCATGTTGACTGGACCAAGTGAACAGAAGGTAGCCACTACTTTGGACTCATTGGTAACACATATATGTATCAGAGGATAGGAAATAAATCCAGCCAGAATTCAAAGACGGTCTACCTCAGTGAAATCCTTAAGAGTCCAGTGGTGTGGGGAATACAGAGATATCCCTTGTAAGGTGAAGATAAACAATTGCAGTTGACTCCACCCCCTCACCCCCACAAAGAAAGAAGCATAACATTGAGTGGGCCTATTTGGATTCTGGAAGCATTGCAATTCTCACATGGGTATGTCGCTCCAGGCCGTACACTGAGTGACTAGGAACGCTGTTAGCTTTGTATGGGGCCTGGGATAGGAGAAGACTCAACAGATTCAGGCTGCTCTACCACTTGGACCATATGATCCAGCAGACCCAGTTGTACTTGAGGTGTCAGTGACAAGACAGGGATGCTGGCATACCTATAGGTGAATCACAGAAGAGACCTTTGGGATTTCGGAACAAGGCTCTACCATCATCTGCCGGCAACTAGTCTCCCTTTAAAAGACAGCTCTTGGCCGCAGTGGAAACTTTGACAATGAGCCCCAAGTTACCATGCGACCTGAGCTGCCCATCATGAGCAGAGTATTATTGGACCCTCCAAACCATAAAGTAGGACATGCACAGCAGCAATCCATTGTCAAAAGGAAGTGACATAGAGCTGGAGAGATGGCTGAACAGTTAAGAGCACTGGCTGCTCTTCCAAAGGTCCTGAGTTCAATTCCCAGCACCCACATGGTGGCTCACAACCATCTCTAATGGGATCTGATGCCCTCTTCTGGTGTGTCTGAAGACAGCAACAGTGTACTCATACAATAAAAAAAATAAATAAAATAAATAAATCTTTTTTTTTTAATGGAAGTGGTTTATACATGACTGGACCTGAGCCTGTCCTGATGGCACAAGCAAGTCACATGAAGAAGTTGCCCAAATGCCTGTGGTTTCTGCTCTTATCACCGTGCAGTCTTGCTGCCAAGCATGCACCTATAGCCTCATGGGGTGTTCCCTACAACCAGCTGACTGAGGAAGAGACAACTAGGGCCTGGTTTACACTGGTTGTGCACTTTATACAGGCACCACCCAGAAGTGGACAGCTGCAGCATTACAAACCCTTTTTAGGACAACTCTGAAAGATGCTGACGAAGGGGAATCTTCACAGTGGGCAGAACTTGGCCAGATGAATGATTGTTCGCTGATTCATATGTTGTACAATGCATTAGCTGGATGGTCATAGACATGGAAAGATCATGATTGGAAAATTGGTAAGAAAAACAGCTGAGGAAGAAGTATGTGGATCCATCTTAGCAAATGTGCAAAGGATGTGAAGCTATTTGTGTCCCATGTAAATGTTCATCAAAAGGTGACTTCAGCTAAAGAGTTTAGTAATCAAGTAGATAGGATGACCTATTCTGTGGACAGTCAGCCTCTTTCCTTAGCCATCCCTGTCATTGACCAATATCCACATGAACAAAGTGGCCATGGTAGCATAGATGGGGGTTATGTATAGGCTCAACAATATGGACTTTCACTCACCAAGACAGATCTGGCTACAGCTGCTTCTGAGTGCCAGATCTGCCCACAGCAGAGACCAACACTGAGACCCAGATATGACACCATTACCTGGGGTGACCAGCCAGCAACCTGGTGGGAGGCTGAACACATTGGACCACTTCCCCAAGGAAAGGACAATGCTTTGTCTTTACTGGAGTACTTACTTATTCTGGTTACAGATTTGCATTTCTTGCACATAATGCTTCTGCCAAAACCACAATTTATGAACTTACAGGGTGCCTTATCTATCATCATAGTATTCCACAAAATATTTCTTTTGACCAAGGTACCCATTTCATAGCCAGAGAAGTGTGGCAGTGGGCCCATGATCATAGAATCCACTGGTCTTACCATGTTCCCCACCATCCTGAAGCAGCTGGCCTGATAGAAATATGGAGTGGCCTTTTAAAGACACAGTTACAGTGCCAATTAGGTAGCAGCAGCCTGCAGGGCTGAGGCAGGATTCTTTAGAAGACAGTATATACTTTAAGTCGGCATCCAATGTAAGGACAATTTCTCCCATAGCCAGGATCCATGGGTCCAGGAATCAAGAGCTAGAAAAGGGAATATTTCCACTCACTATCACCCCTAATGTCCTACTAGGGGGAAAAAGTGCTTCCTGTTCCTGCAACCCTAAGTTCTTTGGTTTCAGAGGAAGAAGTCTCCTGCCAGGAGCTACAACAAAAATTCCATTGAACTAGAAGCTCAGACTTTCCCCTGGCATCTTTGGGCTTCTAATGACCTAAAACCTACAGGCTAAGAAAGGAATAGCAGTGTTAAGAGGAATAATTGATCCAGATTACCATGGGGAAATTGGATTGCTTCTCTACACAGAAGTAAGAAAGATTATGTCTGGAGTGCAGGAAATTCTTTAGGGTGTCTCTTAGTACTATCATAACATGTAATTAAAGTCAATGGGAAACTTTAACAACCTAATCCAGGCAGGATGACAGAGGGCACAGACCCTTCAGGAATGAAGGTATTAGTCACTTGTCCAGGAAAAGAGCCAAGACCTGCTGAGGTACTTGCTGAGGGTGGAGGAAATACAAAATGGGTAGAAGATGGTCGTTATTAAATACCATCTAAGGTCATGTGACCAGTTGCAAAAAAATGAGGATTATAGTTGACATGAATGTTTCTGTGGTACTTTCTTAAGAATGCATTTGTCCAAATATTTGTGTTTTCCTTCAATTTCTTTATCATATGTTGTAATATCAATTATATTTAAATTTGAGATACTAAAAGGATGTCCCCTAAAGGATATTGCTACCTATACTAAATTTATAATTCATTTGCAGTTGTACGAGGGTTGTACGAGTTATATCATGTTAGGTGTAATTATGACCTGGTTAAATATATAATGCATCTGTGATTGTACATGGGATGGCAATATTATGTTTAGGCATTATCATGACCTGATAATTGTCTCCATTTGGAAGTTAATTATGACATAAGTTATGATTGGGTGACAAGTTGAAAAGAGGTGGACTTGTGATAGCTATTCTTGGTTGTCAAATTGACTGTATCTGGAATAAACCACAGTCCAGGAATGGAGACCACATCTGTGTTTTTCTGCTTCATTTGAAGTGGGTGAATCAACTTCTAGTCTAGACCTTTGAGGTAGAAGGCATACATCTTTGATCCGAATTTTAAGGTGGGAAGACACAGGCATTTAATTTAGACCTTGAGGTGGTAAGACTCAATCCCTTTAATCTAGGCTATACCTTCAGCCAGACATCTATGTAAGGACGTAGAAGAAGGAAGCTTTTGCTCTTTGTGTACTTGCCCTCACCTTGCTAGCACATCCATTCCTTCACCGGCATTAGAGCCTACTTCTGGATTGCAGCATATACTGAAGACCAGCTAAGACGTGCAGCCTTGTTGGACTGAGCAACTACTAGATTCTTGGACTTTCTTTTCATAGCTAGCCATTGTTGGATTAGCTGGACTGCAGCCTGTAAATCATTCCAATAAATCCTCTTGGGAGGGGAGGATTGTGGGGAGCTTAATTCATTCTTTAAGTTCTGTGAGTCTAGAGAACCCTGTCTAGTACAGGACTAACTAACTCTTAAGGTGTAGTCTTTTACAGGTAACACCATTCTCTTCTCCTCAAAGTCCCAGTATGCCTTTGCCAACTTTTCAGAAGGACTGCCTAGAATGGTGCATTCAGGCTGTCCCTACAGTACGGCATGCCGCGACCAGTTCTCCACCTGTGACCACCTCCATCCACATGGGTTTTTTTCTTTAATAAAACAAAAAGGAGGAACTGTGGCAATGCATTATGATAAAAATATCTCTTACATCCTAAGAGGCTGCAACTTTTGCTAGCCCTCACAGGTGGAGTTAATAATACACACTGAGGTCACTTAAGACTGCTATCCTACTATGTACTCTGTTTAATCTACCTTTAAGAGAACAATATTAAAACCAACTTTACTTGCCTTGGACTTCCCATGTGATCAACTTTTGGGACTGTTTTGTTGGGTTTTTTGTTTGTTTTGGGGGTTGGGTGGTGGTGGTTGTTGTTGTTGAGACTGGGTCTTTGTAGTCCTTACTGTCCTGGAAATTGCTATGTAGACCATACTGGCCTCCAACTGACAGAAATCCTTGTACCTCTGCCTCACAATTAAAAGTTTAATTAAAAGTGTATAACACCTCGCCCAGCCCATATGATGAGCTTTTCCAGATTAAGCGAATCCATAGCTATAATCTTGAGTTACCTATTCTTCCATGTCCCTGACCCAAGAGTGACGCATGTGTGCTTGTACATATGTTATGATAATCATTTGCTGGAAACAGCTAATAGTCTGAATTCAATCTTACAAAACAAGTATTTTATAAAAGATAACGTTCATATAGTGCCTTCAAAAGGACAAAGTAAAGTGATGTGGATACACAGTATGAACAGTGTGTGCAGAATGAGGCATGGGGGGGTGGTTCGCAGACAAATCTAGAGCTGAGGTTCTTAGCCTTCTACGCTGCAAACCTTTAATACAGTTCCTCGTGCTGGGCAGTGGTGGCGCACGCCTTTAATCCCAGCACTTGGGAGGCAGAGACAGGCAGATTTCTGAGTTTGAGGCCAGCCTGGTCTACAGAGTGAGTTCCAGGACAGCCAGGGCTACACAGAGAAACCCTGTCTCAAAAAACAAAAACAAACAAACAAAAAAACACACAGTTCCTTGGGTTATGGTGGCCCACAACCATACAATTATTTCATTGCTACTTCATAACTGTAATTTTGTTACTGTTAATGAAACCATAATATAAATATCTGTGTTTTCCAGTAGTCAGTGGTAGGTGATCCCTGTGAAAGGGTCATTTAACACCCCTGAAGAGGTTGTGACCCACAGGTTGGGAACTGCTGTGCTAGAGGTAAAGGGAAGCATGAGGTATACTCTTCCCCTGAACCCCCGAGGACCCAACCCTGGGAACAACTTGTCCTCAGACCCTGCTTCTGAAGTCAGAAGAGAATCCACTTTTCTGTTTTTCTTTAATGTGTATGGGTGTTTTGCCTGCATGTATGTCTGCACATTTGTACAGCACCTGAGGAGGCCAGAGGACAGCTTTGGATCCCTTGAGCTGATGTGACATTCAGTTGTGAGCCACCACACAGGTGCTGGGATCCTCTAGCTCCGCCACTGTTTGAACTGGCTCTACCACCTCTCCAGCCCAGAACCCACTTCTATTGTCTTAGGCCACGGAGCTCTGGAAGTTAATAGACTTTTCTTTTCCTTTTTAGATTGTTTTCCTTTTGATGCATAAGAGTGTCTTGCCTGCATGTGTATGGGATGCCCTGGAACTGGAGTTACAGATGGTTGTGAGCTGGGAATCAAGCCCATCCTCTGCAGGAATGGTATACACTCCCAAGTACTGAGCCCTCTCCCCTGCACGCCCTGGTTTGGTTCCGTTCGGTTCGGTTCGGTTTGGTTCTAAAGAATTTCCAAATTGGGGACTGGAGAGATGGCTCAGTGGTAATGAGCATTGCCCGTCCTTCCAGAGGTCCTGAGTTCAGTTCCCAGCAGCCCCATGGGAGCTCACAACCATCTACTAAGGGATCTGATGCCCTCTGGTGTGCAGACATCCATGCAGACAAAGCCCTAAAGTATATAAGTAAATATCTTTTTTTAAAATATTCCAAATTGATCTGACACAGAAACCCTTTTTCACATAATAGCTATTGACATGCAAGAAACAGTTTGGGGGAGTCTGGCTTGGGGACAGCCGAGGTCTGTCTAGCTTACAAAGGAAACTTCAGGCTGCGCTGCTGCTCTCCATTTTGCGGCCATCGTCACCTTCTGGAACTGGATCTGACTGAGTTGACATTTACTTACCTGAGGAAACTATTTAAACATCAACTTGTAGCTTACTCGTTTTGCTTTTGTAGTAGTTTCCTTTTTTCCTCCTGGAGAGGAGACGCTGAAAGCCGCAGCATACACTCAGAGGTCAGAAGACAGCTTTCAGGAATCAGTTCTCCCCTTCCACAGAAGGCTGCAGTGGTCACACCCATGCCACTGGGTTTGCTCCATAAGTGCTTTTACCTGGTGAACCGTGTTGCCAACCCTCACCTATCTTTTCACACCAAGAGACTACACAGTCTCTACACAGAAATTCCATGTGAATTTCTTAATCCCCTGAGAGTAGGGATGGAAGTCAACAGCAGCATCAGGACACGGGTGGGAAGAGTATTAGTCACTCCTTATAATCTCCCCCAAATAAAGGTACTCAACAAAAGACAAGCCCTCTAGTTCCACCCACAACACCCAGAGTGGCATCCCTGGACCCTACCCCTCATTGACACATTAGCCAGCGCTCGGAAAACTGATGACCTAGCATCTTTACTACAAAATGAATTGCATGCACCCTACTACAGTAATTAATACCATATTACAAAAATGTTCTTTAAGGTTTTTTATTTATATGTAACGTGCGTGTATGTGTACGCAACACATGTGAGGATGTCCGATGAGGCAGGAAGAGGGTTTGAGACCCCCTGATGCTGGAGCTACAGGGGGTTGTGAGCCTCCCTTGAGTGCTGAGAACTGAACTTGTTCCTTCTGGAAGAGCAGCGAGCACCTTTAAACGTGGAGCCATCTCCCCAGTCCCTGCAAAACAGTCTTAGTCACCTAATGTGGCTGGAGAGTCAACTACCAGCACTTCTTTGTGGTGGATCCAATTGTAGTTTTTAATCTTTTTTCCTCAGGAGTTCATCTTTGTGGGTCTCGTTTCTAGAGACTCTCCTGTGCCCTGAGGTGGGACAGTGTTCCCAAAGAGAATCTGCTTTTCCTCGGGCCCTAGGGATTCAAGAGTCGTCTGAGTTCATTGCTCTGTTTGGGACCAGTATCCCCCAAGCCCTGAATGCACAGGTCTCATGTTCGTGTCTCAGAGAGGTTTTTCTTTTGTCACACACATATATTTATACCCCAGACTTTTATGACAACGACATCATAGGCCTTTTCGTCAGTGTCTGTCACATGCATCTCAAAGTCAGCTTGCTCAATACTGAACTTCTGAAAACCTGTAGTTCCATGTGAATTTCTTACTTCAGGAAATAGTACCAATTGGTCTGTATGCGTGTATGGGAAGTTTACTCAACAATGGGAAAACGGGCTGAGATCTGCCTGACAAACTTGTGCGTCCCTCAGCTGTGTCCATTGGAGGGAGGTTTGTTTTGTTTTCTAATTACATAGTAATGCCATATGGGCTTCAAGGAGCCCTCTAGACGGTGCCACCATCTCTCTGGGATCATTTGTCCTTCCTTCACACACAGCCACATCGTCCCAAAGGCTCACTTAATCCCTGCATCTCCTTGTGTTCGCTCCCTTATGGTCACTGTAAGTTTCTGAATCTGGCTAATAAAAATGCAGAATTCCGAGTTCTCTTTGAACTCCCATTGAAGAAGAACTCACTTTAGTGTGGCTGTGCTCTGCTCTGTGCTCATTTTCTAGCAGAAATCTATTACTGTTATTATTCATATTCGTAGCCAAGTAATCGTGCCACACTACTGCCTTTACTATTGGGATAGAACTATCTGTTGCCCCCTGAACACATTCTAAGTTTGTTAGAGACAGGCACTTTTAGTCAGAAAATAAGGCATTGGGCTATTTGGCTGATAGCTTAAGAGATTTATAGGCTGGGCTCCTTTGTACACTCCCAGAAATGTTTGCCTTTCATGTACAGATTCTTACAGAATTCAAGTAAAGGAACCTCACTGTTCAGGCTCTCAAGGCAGTGGTGGCCTCCTAGACACTTACTGTGGGATCATCCTGCGTTGGAAGGACGCCAGACATCTCTCTGAGATCCCTGTCCTTTTCCAAATCCACTGGGAACTTGGCCCATAGGATCACTAAAAAGTATACCACCCATGTCTGGCACATTCCTCAGTCAAGGTGGAGGTATGTATGTTCAGATACACTGTCTTGATTGTCAGACCAAGCAAGAAAAGCCTCACTGGCCTGCTGTATGACCTAGAGAGTAAAACTGGAAAATACTTTGCCTTGTCAGACAGTGCCACCACTGACATACGTTTTTGGAGCCAATTGTTCAAGATCAAAAGGAAACAGTCCAACCAAAGTAAATCCCTCAAAGCAAAACTAGGAAATACTGTGGGGTGCTACAGAATGCTCATAGATGTTTTATGGACTTTGTTAAGTTTCCTATTGCCGTCGTTTGGATATGGCATAGTCCCTCTGGTGTTGGTCTTTACTGTTACCTTGACTACATTTAGAGGATGTTGAGGGTGTTTTCCTCAGAGACATGTAACACAGGAGGAAAGACCCACCCTGAATATGAGCAGTCTCTTCCCATGGGCCACAGAAGAAAAACAATGAGAAATCCAGCTGACGACCAGTATTCACCCCTCTCTGCTCCCAACTGTAGATGCAGTGTGACCAGTGGCTTCATATTGCTACTGCTGTGCCTTCCCTGACGTGGTAGACTGTGTCCCCTAAAACTGTAAGCCAAAATAGCCCTTAAGTTGCTCCTCATCTAATATAGAATGAGAAATGGCATTAATACTGTCCCCAATACAGTGACATTGAAAACTGATAGGACTGGCAGATGGTGCATACCTCGAATCCCAGCACTTGGGAGGCAGAGCCAGGCAGATCTCTGAGTTCAAGGCCAGCCTGGTCTACACAGTGAATTCCAGGACAACTAGGGTTACACAGAGAAACCCTGTAGGAGAGTGGGAGAAAACGAAGAAAATTGATAGGATTTTGATTAGGTGGAGCCTAATCAGATGAGAGGTGACCTGGTGTCAACTGTCCCTGTGAAAGGTAATGCTGGTCTCAAGGAGTCTTTCAGGAGTGGATTAAATCCTTTAGGAAAGAGCCTCGGGGTAGGAAGAGGGTCCCTGGGAGCAGAGCTTGTGCCTCTCTAGCCTGGTACTTCTTCCTGTTCATATCTGGACTATGGGTTCAATGTGAGCAGGCAGCCTCCAACTACCACAATGCCTTCCCTGCCTGCTACCGGGTCTCCTCCACCGTGGTCGTCGGCTTCCCTCCGGTAACGGGAGCCAAAATAAACCTTTTCTTCTTTAAGCTGCTTTTGTTAGAGTATTTGTCACAGCAACACACACACACATGCAACACACACACACCCCACAAGCACAATCCTCATCTCAAAAGGAAAAAGACCTTAGAGATCCAACTTTGCCCCTCCCCCTATATGAGGACAGAGCCGGAAGGCAGTGCCTCACCAGACACCAAATCTGCCAACATCTTGGGCTTGGGATTTCCAGGCTCTAGAGCTATAAGAAAGAAATTCCTTTGTTTATAAGCTACCCGGTCTCTAATATTCTGTCAGAGCAGTCTGAGGAAACACAAACACTTCCGTAATGCCTGCCTGCTACCATTAACCTGCAGTATCTGAGTAAGACCGAACGTAATGTGTATGTTAGTGTCATTGCTAAATACCAAGCTTGCATTGGAAATTTGCATATGGTGGTTAGAAAATATCCCCCTACTTCAAGAGACACATGCTTAAGGTAGGTCTGAAGGTGTAAAGGATTCTTGATGAGTGTATCACTGGCTGTCAAGTGGGTCAGCAAAACAGAGCGAGAGGGAAAGGGAGAAAAGGCACCAACACACATGCTGTCCATGGGAGAGGCTAGATGAGGGCACCCAGGTGTCTGCTTTATGATCAGTGCAAGTTTTCTACACATCTTGAAAGGTTTCACAGTTGAGTGTTAAACAAGGCCAAACAGTGATTCCTCATTGGAGTCAAACAATTGGTTTAGGACAGAGACAATTGTCAAAAGCAAAGGATAAAAAAACCCAGCAAGGGCAGAGGCTGGCTGAGAGGGCAGTCAGTGCATGCTTGGGGGCTCATGTCTCTGGTCAGTGTTGTCTTGAAAAGTTGGAAGCACCTGTGGATAGAGGGACAGCATTAAAGAGCGTGTTCCCTCACAAGCCCAACAGCTCTCAAGCAACACATTTAACCCTCAGAGCATGGTGAGCACCTCTGCCCAGAGGACCTCCTAGAGACAGAAGGCATGCCCACTCCAGGAGAGGCACTGCCATCTCTGAGCTCTACGTGAAGCCTCCCAAAGGACTGTTCTTCTGAACTCCAGTTTCTTTGGGGGTTTTTTGAGATTTCTTGAACCTACCAGTGGAGAAAAAACTGTGTAGGAAGGACATCGGCGCCTGCCAGTTTTCCAGATCCTCGACTTCTTTTATCTCATTCTTCAAATTGTTGGCTTTTTCTTTCTCCCAGAAAGGCAAACTGCAGGAAGAACACAACCCTGCTGAGTTTGAAGGTACGCCATGTGAAAGTTACAAACCCCATCTAGGGGAAAGGCACTACATGACCACGTGACCATAAAGTGAACAAGGCCTCCACATCAGGGGGCTGGGGAGATAGCTCAGTGAGTAAAGTGATTGTGGTATAACCACAAGGACCTGAGTTCAAACCCCAGAACCCACACAACAAGGCACGGTGCAGCCAACACCTAAGAATAGCACCTAATGTGGACCTCTGACCTCGACATGCACACATTCAAACACACACACAATAAATAAACCTAAAAATAAAAATGTAGATTGAAAAAGAGAGGCCTAAACACAAGGTAATTCAAAAGCAATAGAAGGACTTATATTAGCTGAATGCAAATGGTGTAGAACAAGGGTCGTAATCTTTTTAAAGTTTTATAACTGTATGGGTGTTTTATATGCATCTGCACCATGACCCATGTAGTGCCCAGAGGCCAGAAGACAGAAGAGCCACCGGAACTAGAACTGCTGATGGTCGTGAGCAGCCCTGAGGATACTGCGACTTGAACCCAGGTCCTCTGGAAGAATGCCCAGTGCTCTTAACCACTGAGCCTTCTCTCCAGCCTCAGAGAGTTGTGATCTTAAAATTTATAGATATGGATGAGAGTCCTGTAATTGTATAAAGTCTACCCATCCGACACCATGGGAGTGAAAGGCCACCTGCAAATTTGGCTTCATAACTGAGGAAAAGGGCAATCTAAGCAGACAGAGCACGGTGTTCTCAACAAGTGTGAAGAGCCAGAGATACATCACTAGGAAACCTTTAAATACACAGAAACAGCAGGGCAAAGTTGTTGGGGAGGCGGGGAGCTACACAGAAAATGAACCTCTGAAATTTGTAAACCAGTTCCCTTGAGTACTGCTGAATGTTAAGAGATGTATATAGGATGGGGTGCCACAGGACAATAAAACAGTCCATTATGCACTGTGCTGGATAGTTTTATGTCATTTTGACACAAGCTAACATCATCTGACAGGGACCTCAATTAAGAAAACGCCTCCATAAGATGGGGGTTGTGGGCAGGTCTGTAAGACATTTTCTTAACTGATGTGGGAGGGCCTAGCCCATTCTGGGTAGTACCATCCCTGGGCTGGTGGTCCTAGGTTCTATAAAAAGCAGGCTGAGCAAACTGTGAGGAGCAACCCAGTAAGCAGCACCCTTCTTTGGCCTCTGTATCAGTTCCTGCCTTCAGGTCTCCAGGTTCCTGCCATTTGAATTCTTGTTCTGACTTCCTCTGATGGTGAACGGTGATATGGAAGTGTACACTAAATAAGCCCTAAGATATGAACTGCGTTGTTCCCAGCTCTCACAGAAAACTGAAAGATCCCTTATAGATCTCACCAATGAAGCTGAAAACTCTTCATTGATTACTGCAAGCATTTGGTGAAGACTCCAAAAGGGGGTAGTTAGTTACTCTAAACTGTCCTCAGAAAAGTCCTAACATGGTTGGGTGGTGGTGGCACACGCCTTTAATCCCAGCACTTGGGAGGCAGAGGCAGGTGGATTTCTGAGTTCGAGGCCAGCCTGGTCTACAGAGCGAGTTCCAGGATAGCCAGGGCTACACAGAGAAACCCTGTCTCCAATATATATATATATGCACACACACATATACAACATAACATAACACAATAGAAAAACATCCTGCTTGGTATTTTGTGATTTTTTTATTTTTTATTTTTTATTTTTTTATTTTTTTGGTTTTTCGAGACAGGGTTTCTCTGTGTAGCCCTGGCTGTCCTGGAACTCACTCGGTAGACCAGGCTGGCCTCGAACTCAGAAATCCGCCTGCCTCTGCCTCCCAAGTGCTGGGATTAAAGGCGTGCGCCACCACCGCCTGGCTTATTTTGTGATTTATACATACAAATATATTTTCATATATTTATAAAAGGCAATTTACAAAAACAAAAATAATTGGGTAGGATGGTAAGATTAGGCAGTGGCTGGCTGATATTTCGAGTATTCTAGAATAGTGTTTATTTAAAAAGAGCTCAGACGTGAGACGCGTAGTTACGTGTTGTGAGGAGTGACGAAGGATAACGAAGGCCTCAGAGGCCAAGTTCAGAACAAAAGGCTTTTATTCCCACCCAGCACCGGACCCTGGTGTGTGAGGCCCGGGAGCACATGTGCCTACCTCACCAGATTATATGAGACTATTTATATTCAAAAATAGGGAGAAGAGGTGACTAAATACATGAATAAATTCATGGGCAGAGCCAAAAGTTTGAAATCAGGGCTGGAGTCGCAGTTAGGAGCATTGGCTGCTCTTCCAGAAGACCCTGGTTTGACTCCTGGCCAGCACCCACACTATGGCTTGAAACCATTGGTAGCTTCAGTTTTAGGGAGTCTGAAACCCTCTTCTGGATCTCTGGGTACCCAGCACACACACGGTACACAGGCATACATACAGGCAAAACACCTCTACCACTAGTTTTTCATTTAAAAACTATTCAATTCTATAGGCATGGAATTGGGGCCCCTGAGATGGCTCCGTGGAGAATGGTGCTTGCTGCCAAGTGTGACAGCGTGAGTTCAAGCCTTGAGAGCCACATAGTGAAAAGAGAGAACCAGCTCCCTAACATGTGGCACATGTGCCTCCATACATGCACACTGTTTTTTTAAATTTTAGTTTAAAAACAGAGGACTGATCCTTCTTTCAAACACAAGGATGGTCTATTGGCCTTCTGTGAGGTTTTGAAACACTAACCATGCCGGGCGGTGGTGGCACACGCCTTTAATCCCAGCACTTGGGAGGCAGAGGCAGGTGGATTTCTGAGTTCGAGAGTTCGAGGCTAGCCTGGTCTGCAGAGTGAGTTCCAGGACAGCCAGGGCTACACAGAGAAACCCTGTCTCAAAAAACCAAAAAAAAAAAAAAAAGAAAGAAAGAAAGGAAGGAAGGAAGGAAGGAAGGAAGGAAGGAAGGAAAGAAAGAAAGAAAGAAAGAAAGAAAGAAAGAAAGAAAGAAAGAAAGAAAGAAAGAGTAACCATGTTCCCCCACTTGGAATCTACATTAGATATGTGTTTTTGTTTTCCAGGACACTAATATTCTGGAAACATGGTATCAGTCATTTTACCCCATTTAACTCCCTTCCTGTGCATTCCCAAGCACACCATGGCATCTGGCAGTTGGCCAGTCCCCCCCCCCCACTGTCAGATGCCACAGACCCTTGACCTCTATAGGTCTCTCCAACTGTCCACCATATATACTGCACTGACCCCGCTGCTGGGACACAAACGGTCCCCATGGTTTGACTGACTGCAGGTTCCTCCATGGGAGAAAAGTCTGTCATCTCCACAGAGGTGGGATCATAGAAAACCTGGTGAAAAAAACTCACTTGGGAATTTGCGGAAGTGGCTCAAGCGGGATAAATGTGTCGAACTTTTTCTCATAAGGTCCCCTGGGGAAAAAAACAAAACAGTAAAAATAACCATAAAATTGCTATGACCTCAAAAACCATGGAGACCAACACATGATCATGTCCAAAACACAGCCTGCCTTCTAGTATCAGTTCCCAAAAGTGAGCTTCAAGACTGGACAGGGAACAATGTTTCATTTTTTATTATATTTCACCCAATATCATTTACTCCCACAGAACTGGTTTTCTAGATATTTTCAATATAATACAACTGCTGTTTGTTCTTTCAGTTGAATGACTCTCTCTTCTCTCCAATCATGTTGTCCTAAGTTTGCCGCCACCTTTGAAGTCAACCCACAGACTAGTCACTAGCAATCGGGGACTTGGTGCGAAAGCTCCGAAGTCTACAAGTGTGTGGTAATAGACGTCAGACAAAATGAACAACTACTATTTCTTTATCAGGTTTTGAAAGGACAATGTAATGGGTTTCGTGACATTTCCATATGTGGGTATCATTGGAGTTAACTCATATTCATCCCTCTGCTATCCTCTCTTCCACCCTCCCTACTGTTGCAATTGTTCCCCAAATAGTCTCCCTCCCAGTGACACTATGTGTGTGTGTGTGAGAGAGAGATGCATGGGTGTGTGTATATATAGTGTGTGTGTGTATGATGTGTGTGTATGTATATATATGTGCCTGTGTGATGTGTGTATATATGTGTGTGTGCATATATATATATATGTGTGTGTGTGTGTATATATATGTATGTAGGGGATGTGTGTGTATATGTGTGTGTGTATGTGTGTGTGTATGTGTGGGGGGGGGATGTGTGTGTATGTGTGTGTGTATGTGTGTGTATGTGTGTGTATGTGTGTGTGTGTATGTGTGTGTGTGTGTTTAAAGTATGGTGCCTTTTTTTGTGGTACTGGCTAGGGGTTGATATGAAGGCCTTGCACATCTAAACAAGTTCACTACCAGTGAATCATATCCTTGGCCTTCTTTGTATCTTATAGGCACAAATTAAGTAAATGTGAGCTCTTTAAGGCATTTTCACTCCATCACCTCTCACTGATACCCACCCCTTTAAGGATCACTCCCATAGAGGGACTAGGGAAGAGGTTCAGTGGGTATGAGACTTGCTGGTGAAGGCATCAGGATTTGTCTTTCAAATTCCCAGCACCCACATAAAAGGCAGTCACAGCGGGGTATGCTTGTGACCCCAGCAATAGGGGCAGAGACAGGCAGATCCTCGATGCTCACCGGCCAGCTGGCCTCGCCAAAATGTCAAGCTCTGGATTCAGAGAGATCCCGTCTAAAAAATGTGAGTGCAGAAAGCAACAGAGAAAAACACTCCGTGTCCTCCTCTGGCTCCCTGACGCACATGCGTGAGTGTGCACACCTGCATACAGAGGTGCTTCTGACGCACACAGACACACCAGGATATGTATATAAAATAACTAATTAACTACTCTTAGTTTACACTCAACAGAAACAATAAAACTGTGGAATGAGTGTGGACTCACAGTGAGAAGTTCACCGGCGGCAGAGTCGCTCCTGCTTTGAAGAACTCTTTACTCTGTTCTGGGAACATGTACGGATTATCCCCTGGTGTCAATTTGGGGATTCCATTTCTGGGATCAATATCTGTGAGAAACGTCAGAAAAACATCACACATAAGGCTGAAGCCGACACCCTGTTTGCTGTGAGCAGCAGCCTGACAGTGAACAATCAAGTCCCTTCATGCTTATCGTGAGATAATTTGTTATCCCACTTAGGAAATTCAAGATCACGGGACTTATTTTTCCTATGCTGTGTTCTCGGGTATGATTACTTAAAAACGTGGAGGGCTGCAGAAGAGGGCGTGTGGAGAGCCATCCCCTGGATGAGGCGTGGCTGTTTCGCACATTCGCTCACAACTGTGCAAGGTTTGTATGAAATCAAGCCAATTACATTTTTCAGTACAGATTAGGGGGTGGTTTCTGGGGCCCTGAGAATCTATTGACAGTTGATATCTTCAAGGAGAGGGACAGTTGCTTTTATTTAAGAGTATGGCCACGGGTAGTGTCCCCAACACCCACATCTCACACCAATGTACATATGGACAGCCCCAGTAGAAGGTTAAAAATTCACTAAATATTTTTTTTAAAGGAAAGATGTGGAGAGCTTTTGGGGCCACTTGGCAGGAGTCTGACTTTGGGCCATGACAAGGAAGTAAGTTCAGACAAGAGTTTTTAGGCTAAAATGGGTAAATAATTTCAGTCAGGAATCTAAATCTTAGGCTAGAACAAAGAAGTAGGCTTCAGGCATGAATATGACTGTGGGCTAGGACAGGGGAATAGGCTCAGATATTTTGGTCATCCTGACAAGCCCTTAGAAACAGTGATCACAGGAGTGCTCACGTGACTATGTCATTGCCGGACGTTTTCCTCAGTTGCTCTCTCCCTTACTCCTTGACTCAGAGCCTCTCACTGAACTCACTTGGCTGCAGAGGCTGGCCCACAAACTCCGAGGACCTGCCCAGCTCAGCCTGCCCAGTCTGAGGGTTACAGAGGACAGCCACTGCACCTGGCTTTTGCATGGGTACTGGGGATCTGAACTCAGGTCCGTGTGTTTGTGCCATACCCTTCTTCTCACTCTTCATTTCCTCTTCATTTTTTTTTTAAAAAAAATTATGCATTTAAGTGTTTTGCCTACATGTATGCCTACATGTGCATTACGTATGTGCCTGGCGGAGGCCAGGAGCAGGTGTCAGATCCCCTGGGGCTGGAATTATGGGCACTTGTGAGGCACCATGTGGTGCTGGAAATAAAAACAGGTCCTCTGCAATGGGTCAGAGCAGTCAGTGCTCTAACCACTGAACCATCTCTGCACCCCTGCATTTCCTCCCGATGAACGGGAAGTTCAGGATCAGGGCAAGGCATGGGACTCCTGTGAGGACCCCACATCTGGGCTATGCCTTGTAGCTTCCCCGGGATGGATTGTTGTGTGTTCTTTACCCAGACAAATCAAAGCCTTGGTTTGAAAGTCCATTTGTCCATTTGTTTTTACAAGAGATGTTGCTGCTTGCTTCTTTTTGCAAAGCTTCTACAAAGACCTTAGTCATCACCGAGGCGTTGGCTGCCTCCTCCTACGAGGGTATTTCTATAAGAAATGCCATAAATGGACCTCCGGCGCTCAGCAACCTCTTAGGCTCTTTTGAGAGGTCAATTCAGAGTGAGTTGAGGCAGAGAATGCACCAGGGTAGAAACCAGGGTGCCGCATGGATTTAGATACGGCGTGTGTATAGATATTTTCATCATGGTTGCCATTAAGTAAATTTAAAAAATAGCTCTGTATACTTCGTGCTGAGGCGTACTTTAGATGCATGCGACAAGTGGCCTCCAACTGAAGCATACATTATTTCCTTCGGACTTCAGTGAGGCGGCTATTAATAGCAATCTGAAAGGACTCATCTGGTGACTTAAATGCCACATTAGCATTTCATGAGAGCGGGAGAGAGACAGAAGTGTGGACCAGCATGAGTCCCAAGCCCTTCATCAAAACCTGTCACCTGCGAACTAGGCTCTCTGCCTTCCTGTCTTCCTGGCTGCTCTGTGGGAAAACTGGGTGGCCCTGCAGAGCTGTCCCCAGCCAGAGAAAGCAGGCTCCCCGGAACCACAGCTGAGACTTGCTCTCTTTTTTCCATCTTTGATAGAGGGAGACACACTACCGTATTTCTTCTTCCCGAGGCTCTTGTCCACCGTCCTCTCTGCCACAGACCGCCTGTTGCCCCGGAAGACCCCGTTGAAGAAGCACTGCTTTCCAACATGGTAGGTGTGGATGTTACTGCTGAACCTTGGATAAAATGTCCACTCAGGACGCTGCCCATCTTCTGCAAGACATCAGAAAGCCTCCCGTTAGCACTGCCGAGGGCCCTCAAGACGACAAGATGTTAAAACTCGCCCCTCCACAGGCTCGACTTGGCTTATTGTCTTCTCACGTATACAATTTTTGTCTTTTTCTTTTTAGATTTATTTTATTGTGTGTATATGAGTACAGTGTCACTCTCTTCACACACACCAGAAGAGGGCATCGGATCCCATTACAGATGCTTGTAAGCCACCATGTGGGTGCTGGGAATTGAACTCAGAACCTCTGGAACAAGCAGTCAGCACTCCTAACTGCTGAGCCATCTCTCTAGCCCACATATACATTTTTTTTTAAAATGTGTATGACCATTTGTTTGCAAGTACATATGTACACCACACGCATGCAGTGCCCACAGAGGCCAGAAGAGGGCCTTGGGTCTTCCTGGACATTACAGGTGGTTATGAGCCATCATATGGGTGCCTGAAACCAAATCCGGAGCCTTTGAAAAAGCAGCCAGTGCTCTTGACCATGTATGCAGTCTCACTATGCAGTCCAAGCTTGACTGAACTCTTTTGTGGTGTGTGTGTGCGTGTCTGTGGTCTGTGTATATACACATGTATGTTCGGGTAGGTACATATGTGTGGATGTGTGTTTGTGTAGCAGAGGTCAACATCAAAGTCTTCTTCAATTGCTTTTCCATTTTTTTTTAAAGAACAATTATTTTTGTTTAACCTGCTTGTACGACTGTATACCATGTGCCTGCCTGGTGCCCATGGAAGTCAGAGGAGGGCACGGACTCCTCTGGAACTGGAGTTAAGCTGTTAGCCACCATGTGGGTGCTGGGAATCGAGCCTGCATCCTCTGGGAGAACAGTCAGTGCCCTTAGCCAATTCACCTCTGCATCCCTCTCCATCTTACTTTCTGAGACAGGATCTTTCACTGGACCAAGAGCTCACTCCTTTGACTTGATCACTGGGATCTTCTTACCCCCGATGTCACTGGGTTTACAGGCACATGTTCTCGTGATGAGTGCTGGAATCTAAACTCAGATCCTCACGCTTGTGTGGTAAGCTTTACCTACTGAGCCATCTTCCCAGCCCCCAGCCTTGCTCTCTTGATCTTCAACCTCCCAACTGTTGAGACTGCAGGTGTGTGCCCCCACACCCAGCTAAACTGTGGAGGCTTTCTCAGTGCGTATGAGCCCTTGGTTCTGCATCAGGGGCGGCATCAAACTCTGGGAAACTAAGCACGGGAGGAAGAGGAGGAGGAGGAAAGTTATTTAAGAAGCTTCTTGGTTGTTCCTGTTTTCCCTTCAAAACTCACAAAAGTTACATGTTCACACATGGTACAGAGGCTGAGTAGGGTCATGACAGCCTACAAGTTCCTGTGATCAGTCTTCCCCCTGAGGGCTGTAGAGAGAGAGGGGGGTGGGAGAGAGAGAGGAAGGGAGGGAGGAAGAGAGAAAGAGGGGGGGAGCGCTCCACGTAGAGCAGCCAAGACATCCTATCAGTGTGCCTCATGGTGTGGGCCCCACGTGTGTGCACCACAGTGACCTGTGGACACACAACAACCAAAAAAGGGAAACCACTGTGCCGCTTCAGGCTAGACACTGGGCCTTTCGGTACCTGGTTCATTTGAAACTGTCTGTATAAAACTAATTATAGTGACTAAGCAACAAAAGAATCCAGTTGTTCTAGAGCTGCTGGAGAAGCCCCTGGGTGACCAGCGAAGAGCAGAGGTTCAGTGGGAGGCCTGGAGGCCTGGAGGCCTGGGGGGTGTTCTGCTCCCCGTGCTCCGCTTCCTGACTACCTGTGCTTGTGTGGAGGACTGAGTCTCTCCGTAACTCCATTTCCTTCTCTGTAAAATGGAAAGGCCTCTATCAGCCTATCTGTAACTCCAGTTCCGGGGGATCCAATGCAAACAAACACTCATACATAAAATAAAAACAATCAATCTTTTAGGACAAGAAAAATAACTAATGCAAACAGCCACATAGACCTAAAGCATTACAGGGGAAGGTCTGCGACCTACGTGACTAGAGGAGAAATGCTCCACATACCGCAACTCAGCTGTTCTAGCCTGTGTCACTTGACGACCTGAGAAATGTGTCATTGGGTTGCTTCACTTTTCTCTGAATGCTGCCGTGTGCTGACACAGACCTACACAGAGAGCTCAATGCGGTAGCACTGGTCTCAACCGAGGGGATCTCCAGTCACCTAGGACACACCTCTGAGCACAGCAGGGAGAGTTTCTACACTGGGTTAACCGAAGTAGAAAGGCTGGGAGGTAGACTGAACCCTGGGTTGGATAAAGAGAGGCCAGCTGAGCATTAGCCATCCTATCTATCTATCTATCTATCTATCTATCTATCTATCTATCTATCATCTATCTATCTATCTATCATCTATCTATCTATCATCTATCTATCTATCTATCATCTATCTATCTATCTATCTATCATCTATCTATCTACCTAGCTACCTATCTGTTGCCTCTTCTCTGTCTCCTCTGTGTGTGTCAGTCTGTCTCTGTGTCTTCATTGTCGCTGTCTCTGTCTATCTTTCTGTCTGTCCCTCTATCTGTCTCTGTGTGTCTCTCTGTCTCTCCCTATCTCTCTCTGTCTACCTCTGTCTCTCTGTCTGTCTCTGTCCTTATGTCTGCCTTGCCCAGCCCCCTTAACTTCTTGTCCTAAGTAGAGAGAGCACACTGTATAATGTCGGTGCCGTATACAAAATATCTGAACCTGTAGTGCTGTTACTTATCGTTATCAGATATGATGTATGTATGTGCCATGCTTTTATATAACTGGCCAACAGTAGCACCACGGACACAAGTCATGTGTGCGTTACTATATTAGGAAAGCTATGACATCACTAGGCAGTAGGAAGCTTTCAGCTGCATCATCTTATTTTGGTGGAAACACTGTTACATACACAGGTCACTGTTGGCCAAGGCTGCATTATACAGCATATGACTGCTTCTGTATGTATACATGTATGTATACACAGATCACATATACATTTCAAACTTTTGTTCTTCACACCTATAGGGCAGAATATTGTTGGGGACTATTCAACAAGAGGGTTTACATTCTATACACTTGTATATTGCTTTAGAACCTTTTATGGCTCTCGAATGAAGGCAGTTCACTTACGAAAACCATATGACCACACCTCCCACACAGCCGTCATGAGGACCAGAGAAGAAACAGGCTAAATGCCTATCACTGGGCGGGGGAGGTCTTCTGTGACTCGTCCCACATCAGGGCTGATTTCTTGAAAGGTCCTGGGAGCAGAGGCCTGTGGAGGAAGGCCCGGGGCCACTCACTTGTCTGTGACTTGAGCAGGCTGAATTCCTCAGGATATTTTTCCTTCTGGATTTCAGGCAGTGAAACTTTCGAGGAGGGATTAGACTGTGCAGAGGAAGAGGAGGAGGATGAAGAGGAGGAAGTTGAAGAAGAGGAGGTCTTCTGACTCAGCCCTGCAGCCGTGCTGGAAGGTAAGCGGCAGGGTTAGAATCGTCTGTGCTCAAACTGCCGGCCAGACTCTGATCTTATACCCGCAGTACATGAGTCCTCGGCAACAGGACGGGCCTCGCTTCTCTATAAAATCCCTGAGTGTGGTTTACTGACTCACAGTGTGAAGGTACTGAAACTTATTCAAAAGATGTGCACTTTAAAACAATCAGGTAAAGGTGTTTGCTGCATAGCCAGACAACCTGAGTTTGATCCCTGGTGACCCGTGTGGCAGGAGAGGACCAACTCCTGTTATACTGTAGCCTCCAGGTGCACACTCTGTCACACGATGGATGGATGGATGGATGGATGGATGGATGGGTAAATAGATAGATATAATTTAATTCTTCTGGTTTTTTTGTTTACTTTTGTTTTTGTTTTGTTTTTGAGACAAGGTTTCTCTGTATAGCCCTGGCTGTCCTAGAACTCACTCTGTAGACCAGGCTAGGCTCAAATTCACAGAGATCCACCTGCCTCTGCTTCCCAAGCGCTGGGATTAGATTAAAGGTGTGGACCACCACCACCCAGGTCATAAAATATAATTCTTAAAAACAGTCTGGAGGGGGCTAGAAAGATGGTTCAGCTGTTAAGAGCACTGGCTGCTCTTCCAGAGATCCTGAGTTCAATTCCCAGCAACCACATGATGGCTCATGACCATCTGTAATGGGATCCGACGCCCTCCTCTGACATGCAGGTGGACGTGCAGACAGAGCCCTGGTATATGTAAAATAAATAAAGAAATAGATCTTTTTTTAAAACAAGCTGGAAATATAGCTAACCAATTAGGAGCACTTGCTACTCTTACAGAGAACCCGGGTTCAATTCCCAGCACCCACATGGTAGCTCACAACCACCTAAAACTCCGGTTCTGAGGAATCTGATTCCCTCTTCTGGGATCCACAGGCACCAGACATACATGTGATAGTTAACTACATCCATATTTAAACAAATTGAAGAAGAAAAAACAGCCAAGGCACTAGCTCCTCAGAATGTAAATCATGGAACTGCTACACAATCCAGCAATTCTGCCCCTAGGTGTATACTCCAAAGAATAGGGAACTGAAACTCGGGCAGACACTTGTGTGTGGACGTGCATTACAGAGAAGCAGTAGCTCCGAGTATCCACCAACAGGTAGGTGAGCAAATGAAGCTCAGCATATACTTATACAGAGGAGAATAACGCAACCTACAAAAGGGCGCAGTTTGCAACATGCTATGACACGGATGAGCCTTCAAACAATTACTTGAAATAAAAACTAGCCAACCACAAGAGGACAAATCAGTGTGACTCGGTTATTATGAGAGCAGAGGGTAGACGAGATGCTTCCCCGGAGCTGGAGCCGGAAGAACACTGCTCTCTCTGCTCATTGGATACAGAGTTTCCACTGAGATGCATCTGGGATAATGAATTGGTTTGAAAACAGGCAGCCACCTTGGTCGTAAGGCACCATGCATGTACTTAATGCCATTTCATTGTGCACTTACAAAAGGATAACATGCCTTAGTTGTATTATATGTGTCTTAAAGATTTATTCAGCGTGTGTGTGTGTGTGTGTGTGTGTGTGTGTGTGTGTGTAAACTCCGGTTCTGAAGAATCTGATTCCCTCTTCTGGCATCCACAGACACCAGACATGTGTGTGTTTCTCTCAAGTTCTCCTTTGACCTCCACATGTTCACAACAATATGCATGAACACTCGGGGGCAGGGAATAATAAATAAATAAATAAATAAATAAATAAATAAATAAATGTTTAAAAGCAAAATGCCAGAGTCTCGGAGAAGTGATGCAATTTGCTTGAATTCACACAGATCATCAGTAGGAAGGCTTGAGATTTGAACCAGTGTAGCCTAGCTCTAATGTTCAGACTACCAGCTTCTGGCTCACAGTCAACAGTGCCGACTCCTCCCCCGATGCCCTGGCATATACACTTACTCAGAGGGAGTCAACACCCGGGGGAGGCCTGGGGACTCAGTAAGTCTTGGACCTGTTCCATCAGAAGATGAGAAGTTGGTCCTTTTATTCTGACGAGAGGGCGTCTTGTTGGCCAAGCAACCTTTAGATTCTAGAACATCACTGTGCTGGGCATCTGCAACACAGATTATTACCATTTAAGTATATTGCTGGAATATCTGGCAGTCTGTTTTATGTTATTTGAAAGGCAGGGAAGGCAGGGATCTGGTGAGATGGCTCAGTGGGTAAAGGGGCTTGCTGCCAAACCTGACAACCTGAGTTCAATCCCCAGATCTCACAAGGTGGCAAGAGAGAACTGACTCCTGAGTTTGTTCTCTAATCTCCACATGGCACCATGCCACAAGCATGCATGTGCTCACACAGCCAATAAATAAATTTATAAAAACAGCTAACATTTAGCTGGGGATTGTGTTAACCCCTCACACACATACAATATCCAATATCCAATCTAGCTCTCATAAGTTCTTGTGTGTGTGTGTGTGTGTGTGTGTGTGTGTGTGTGTGTGTGTGTGAGAGAGAGAGAGAGGCAGAGAGAGAGAGAGAGACAGAGAGAGAGAGAAAGAGAGAGAGAGAGAGAGAGAATAAGCATCTAGCTCCAATTTAACAACAAGACTTGTGATGCCAGAGTCTGAAATCCCAGCCACTAGGCCAGACTGCTTGTGTCTCCACACAACTCACCAGCTGTGAACTGAATGAAGGAAAGCTCCTAGGTGTTGCCGTACACTGTGTGAACACCTTGGCACGACTCTCCAGAGCGTTTGTTCATGTCAGAATAAATGAACCCAGCCGGAGGCCATGACCTGAAGAAGTGCCTTCAGAAATGTCCACAGGTCACCTCCCATTACCAAGCCACTCATTCACAAATATAACCAAGCCACTCATTCACAAACATAACCAACCAACTCATTCACAAACATAACCAAGCCACTCATTCACAAACATAACCAACCAACTCATTCACAAACATAGCTTTGCCGCCAGTGGCACCTAGAGTAGTCGTACCTGGTGTGACTAGGATCTGGAGAAGTATTTGAGTGAATAAATATAAAAAGTTCTATGGGCTGGGGATGGAGGCCAGTTGGAAACTCACTTGCCTGGTGTGGGGGAAACCCTGGATTCTATTCCCAGCACTACATAAAGTAGGCATGGTGGCCCTTGCCAGTGATCCCAACACTTGGGAGGTGGGACAGGAAAATCAGAAATTCAAGGTCACCCTCGGATACATAAAGTATTCAAGGTCAGCCATTGTATCAAAAGGAGGAAGAAGAAGAAGAAGAAACAAAAAGGAAACCTCACCCACCCTTAATGACAAAGGAGTTCTTTAAGTCTGAGACTACCACATGGACAGATGAACCAGTTTTTTGTTTGTTTTGTTTTGTCTTGTTTTGCTGTATGATTTACATTTTGTAAAAGTAGATCTGTTCTTCACCATTTTACAACAGTGCGTGTCCTGCTCAGTTACTTTTTGAAGAGTTATTATTATTATTATTATTATGTGTGCATGCCTGCGTGTCCATATGTGCCCCGCATGCATGCAGTACTCATGGAGGCCAGAAGAGGGCGTCAGATCCGCTGGAGCTACTGTTACAGATGGTCAAGCCACCTGATGTGGGTGCTGGGAACCAAACTCCAGTCTCTGCAAGAGCAGCAAGTGCTCTAACTGGCCAAGCCTCCTCTCCACCCCACCAATTACTTTTTTTTTTTAAAGTCCAGATGAGTAGACACTGTATTTCTTTGTGAATAACTTCACAGAGCACAAAAGATCAGCAAACACAATCTACTTGCTTGTGGTAAGAAAATCACACAAATCAAGAGTCCTCTCAGAGTGTAGTCTATTCTTAGGCTCTGCCTGGCCCCTGCACAGGACCACTCGGTGTACGGATCCTCCATGAATCCATACTACCTGTCAACAGGATGACAGAGCAGACAACTTCTTCCTCGCCTCTTAAATTCATACACCCAGTGAATCTTACTTCTCCATTCTGGCCAAGTGTTCACCTATCACCTAACTCTTCATGTCTGCCAAATGTGGTAGCAGGCGCCCACAGTTCTACCTGGATGGAACCTGAGGCAGAAAGAGCCCTGAGTTCAAGATTAGCCTAGGCAGCTTAGTGATACCAAGGAAGGAGGGGGGGAGGGAAGTGAGAACGGGGAAAGGGGAGAAAGGAAAAAAAGCAGGAGGAGAAGAAAAAAAGATGAGAAAGAGATGAGGAGGAGGAAAGGGAAATGGGGAGTAGAGGAAGGGAAGGGCAGGGGAGGGGAGGGGAGGGCAGGGGAGGGAAAGCGGAAGAAGAGATACACACACATCACACCCTTTACAGGATTATGCTTGTGGTTACAAACTTCAAAAGTCAGCTGAGCTACTTCCTGTCTTCAAAATCCTCCCATTCTACCTTCAGGTTTTCTGGAGTGTGGCACAAGACCTGTAACCATGGCAGACTCCCAAAGCCTTGGGAGCCAGAACCCAAGGCAGCCTTAGGTACAGTGAGGCCGAGTGGTTGCCAGAGATAAAGCCAGTGAAAGGGATGGGAAAGGACATAGGTGTGAGGAGGGCAGGGCAGTCTCCAGCAGCCAGAGAGTGACCCATCTTTACTAGGCCACAAAAGAGCTAAAGAATAGCATATAGACTCCACTCGGCACAATTAGAAATCAATAAAAAAGACAGCCCCGAGCCAAAACCTCACCATAAGCTTGGGAGCTCAAACCACACCACTGAATAATTCACCGAAAAAGAAATCACGATGGAAATCACATTAACACTCAAACCTATGGGATCAAACAAACAGTAATTAGAAACTTGCATTCTTTAAGTGTGTTTCACCCAGTAGAAGACACCATCAATGTTAACAACATTGTTTTATGTACCACGAAGAACAAACATTGTCAGTTGATGACATGATGCTTCATGACCTGGACTTCTTTTTTATTTTATTTTGTGTGTGTGTGTGTGTGTGTGTGTGTGTGTGTGTGTGTATGCACTGTGTGAGTGCAGTTCCTATGGAGGCCAGAAGAGGGCACCAGATCCCCTGGAACTGGACTTGGAGGTGGTTGTGAGTCACCCAGTGTGGGAGTCTAATTCAGGTCCTCTTCAGGAGCAGCAAACACTCTTGACCACAGAGCCATCTTTCTAGTCCAGATAACCTGGAATTTTTACTTTATCCCCGTTGAGGAATTCTTTTAGATCTGGGTGTAGGTTTTAGTCACACTGTGACACATGCACGTACAGAGAATAATTGGGGCTGGGTGGTGGTGACAGCGCACACCTTTAATCCCATCACTTGGAGGCAGAGGCAGGTGAATCTCTGTGAATTCGAGGCCAGCCTGGTCTACAGAGCAAGTTCCAGGACAGCTAGGACTACAGAGAAAAAGAGAAATGGAGAAAGAGGGGAGGGAAAGGAGAGAGGAAGGAACAATTGGTTAAGGTATTCTTACACTTTTTTAAGTTAAAAAAATCTGGCTACTAAGTCATTTTCCAGCTCAGTCATTGATTTCCACATTTTCTACTGATAGAGACCTCACTGCACTGAAAACACAAACCTCATCTGTCTCTGGAACGTTCCTCCAAGCCACGGAGGCATTTGGCACGCTTCAGTGCTCACACAGGAAAGACATGACAGTGGCACTCCTCTCCATACTGGAAGGGCTGGTGATACCAGCTCTAACCCCAGAAAGGCAGCTGCAACATGGTTCAGCGTGGGACAAGCACTCATCCCTTAAGCCTACTGACCTGAGCTCGGTCCCTGGAGCTTGTGTAAGCTTGGAAGGAAAGAACTAAGACCACAGACTTGTCATCTGACCTCCACATATGCATGGGGAAACACACAATAATTCTACAGTTATGTACTTCCAAGCCAGATGTAGTGGCATGTACATTTGTAGTTCTAGAATTCATTCAGTAAGACGGAAAGTAGAGACAGGAGACTTGTCCATGAGTTCACAGGCCAGGTTAGTCTGGAGTACAAAGAAACAAGAAAGACCCCGGAAGAAGGGTCAACTTCTGAAAGCTGTTCAAGCTGTTCTCTGACCTCCAGGTGTGTGCAGTGGAGCTCTCTCTCTCTCTCTCTCTCTCTCTCTCTCTCTCTCTCTCTCTCTCTCTCTCACACACACACACACACACACACACACACACACACACACACACACACAGACAGACAGTAGTTGACACCTATGGATCAGAGGGTCTTGCCCCTTCGTAAGTATTTTGTTTGCGTTGGGATTCTGGGAGATTTTTAAAGTACTACGCCACCATGACCAGTGAACACTGAATTACATCTAAGATTTTAGCATATTTCCCAGCTTTCTTAGTAAGTTTTACAGTAGCAACACTCTAATAAAATAGTGAGCCAGGGCTCCTGCAGCGGGAAAGCTTGTCGGATGCAAGGGGAGTCAGAGTATCTAAACGTCACAGTCCCCATCGCAAGCTGAGCACAGGATCTCCTGTGGATTATCCGTCTCAAACGTGGGCTGCGGGCACTAAACACGGCCTCAGGATGCCTCCCTCGGCCCAGGCAGAGGAAGAATGTCTTCTGATGCCAGTGTTGGCCGTGCTCTGGGGAAGCCAGTGACCTCCCACTCCTCCCAGGTCCCAGCTCCCGGCTCCAGCAGCCTAGCTCAAAGGCAGGGAGGAGGTCTACGCGCCTCCAGAAGTTCACCATTTGTCCGGAAACCTATGTAAATGCCAAGTAAGTTATGACTCTCGACAACACTGTAGGATGAAAAACTATGACAATAACTTAAAAAGCAAAGTAGGGTGTGGAGAAATAGCCCAGCCGTTAAGAGCCCTTGCTACTCTTGCAGAGGACCGGAGTGCACCTGTAACTCCAGCGCCAAGGGATCTAGCGCCCTCTTCTGGCCTCCATGACTCACTGCACTCATGTATACATATCCACTCACACATAACATTGTTTTGTTTTGTTTTTAGATTTATTTATCTTTGTGAGTGTATTGTTACTATCTACAGACACAGCAGAAGAGGGCATCAGGTCCCATTACAGATAGTTGTGAGCCACCATATGGTTGCTGGGAATTGAACTCAGGACCTCTGGAAGAGCAGTCAGTGCTCTTAACCACTGAGCCATTTCTCCAGCCCAACATTGATAATTTTTGTTTGTTTTTCGAGACAGGGTTTCTCTGTGTAGCCCTGACTGTCCTGGAACTCACTCTGTAGACCAGGCTGGCCTCGAACTCAGAGATCCGCCTGCCTCTGCCTCCCAAGTGCTGGGATTAAAGGTGTGCGTCACCACTGTCTTGCCATATCAATTTTTTAATAAACATTTTTAAAGACCAATGGAAGATTCTAGAAACCAGAAAGGAATTCATGAGGGAAAGGGAATTTGGAAAGAAATCTGTGTCTTTGGTGCCATCTGTGAAACTCAAGAAGATTTGCACATCTTTGGGCGGAAACAACACCTTACTTAACGGAAGTCCCTTCTCACACTTGTCTCCTTGGCTAACTCAAAACCCTCTGTCTGGCAGGGAGAAAAAGAATGCAGGCAGCAAACCATGTTGTCTTAGTATGGAGTGTTTTTAGAAAGAAAAAAAAAGAAAAAGAAAAACAAAAGCAAAAAAAACCCCTCTCATTTACCCACTTCCTGCTCTATCTGCTCAAAAACCAAGCTAAAGATCTAGAGTGAGTGACTGAAAACACATCAATCCCCAGCCCAACTTGAGACCCATCCCATGGGCAAGTACCAATGGCCGACACTGTCAATGATACTGTTAAGCTTGCAGACAGGAGCCTAGCATGGCTGTCCTCTGAGAGGCTCCACCCAGCAGCTGACTCAGCCAGATGCAGACACCACAGCCAAACAGTGGATGACGCTTGTGGACTCTTATGGAAGAATAGGACGAAAGATTGTGACCCCCTAAGGAGATAGGAACTCCACAGGAAGACCAACAGAGTCAACTAACCTGGACCTTTGGGGCTCTCAGAGTCTGAACCACCAACCAAAGAACATACACGGGCTGGACCTAGGCCTCCCTGTACATACGTAGCAGATGTTCAGCTTGGTCTTCATGTGGGTCCTAAACAACTGAAGCCGGGGCTATCCCAAAAGCTGTTGCCTGTATGTGGGATATGTTCTTCTAGCTGGGCTGCCTTGTCTGGCCTCAGTAGGAGAGGATGTGCCTAGCTTCACAGAGACTTGCTGTGCCAGGGTGAGGGGGATACCCAGGGGAGCCCCCACCCGCTCCAAGGAGAAGGGGAGAAGCGGTGGGGGTTGGAGTGTGGGAGGGGTGATGGAGAGAGGGGCAATGAGTGGGGTATAAAGTGAATGAATACATTAATAATAATAATAAATTTTTAAAAAGATACATCAACCCAACAACAGTAAGGAAAGTAATGGGCCCTTTCCTGCTGCAAAAAAGGCACCTACCTATCCACACGCTGCACAAGGAGCTAGCTTGTGGGGCTCCTCAGTTCCCCAAGACCTGGATTCCCTATTAAATTGAACATTTGATGCGTCTCCTGAAAGAAACCCCCAATTACAAAGCATGGACTCCCCCCCACCCCTGTAACTTAAAGTGGCTTCCTCCTTACTCCAAACCAGATTGGAAAAACAGGAAGTTCTGAAGCTTAAAGCTGGCAGAGCCCTTGCCTAACATACACAAAGCTCCGGGTTCACCTCCCAGCATGCATGGGACCAGACATGATGGTGCACACCTGTAAACCCAGCACCCGGGAGGTGGGGCAGGGGGGCCAGAATGCAAGGCCATCCTCAGCTACGTGGCGAGTTTAAGTTAATATGAACCACATGAGATGGGGAAGGAGGAAGGAAATGGCGGCCGGCCGAGGAAAGCTGGAATGCTGGCACCGTTTTCTCCTTGCTTTCTTGGCCATGATGGACAGTTAATGGGCCGAGGTCCTCCAGCTACTTCCAGCCCAGTTTACAGCCAAGGATGGACCAGCTCCACATCTAAGGTATTAAGGAGAATCAAATATGAAGACCTGGGACCTAGGAGACTGGGGACAAGGCTGAAACCTCTCCAGCCCCTTTGCAGTACACCAGCTACTGACCTACAGTCATGACAGCCTGAGCCTGGATTCACCCCAAAGGGTTCGGGGGAACTGTACTGCCGCCTGATTTCTGTGCCCTGAAGAGAAACATGCTTCCATTCTTTCTCTTCTACCTTAAGAGCCAATCATGGAGTAAGAACGCTAGCCTACTTAAAGGCCTTACAGTCTCAAGATTTGCACCTGAAGTGCCCCATCTAATAAGTAATACCGCATCTCTACTAATATATGAGCAAGCAAAAAACAAAAACATGGATATGGACAGACTCAAAGCCCAGCCTCTGTGTTTATTAAACAAAGCACCAGGCGGCTCAAACCTCTGGCTCCCTTTACTCGTTTGTGATATACTTCCCCAGTGGTTAGAAGCTCCAGGCAACAGCATACTGAGGTCTCTGCCTTATCTTGTTGTTGGGACAGGGTCTCACGCAGACTAGACTGGCCTCAAAGTTGCTATATACTTGAGGATGACCTTGACCACTGCAGTCCTCGTGCCTGCCTCTCCTGAGTGCTAGCATTGCAGGTGTGCGAGCGCCATCAGCTTCGCTCCCGTTTCTAATGGAAGTCTCTGCCTGATCAGATCTCGAATGTCGACAGGAGCTCATTGCATGTATGCTCTAACTAGCTGCTTTAGCTTGGATCTGCATTTAGCTCCAGTCTGCCCTACTGTTGGGAGATGGCAGGACTTTTTTTTTTTTTTAAGTCAGAGGTCACAGAGGTGGGGAGAGTTAGAACCCTCGTTGCTCTTGCAGAGGGCTGGACTTCTATTCCCAGCACCCACGTGGTGGTTCACAGCCATCCATAACTCCAGTTCTAGGGATTCCAATGCCCTCTTCTAACTTCTGCAAGCACCAGGCGCAAACTCAGCCCACATACATACAAACAGGCAGGCTAAACATACATATGTAAAATAAAGACAATTCTTTTTTTAAAAATTAAGAGGTCATTGGGGTGCCTCTAAGTGGAAGAGTGGGACCACCCCCACCCCCTTCTCTCTTCATTATTTCTCGATTAAGAGGGAGATGCTCTGATCTGGCACATGATATACACCAGAGGGCCAAAGCAACGGGACCATGAACATGAGACACACCTGGAATGACAGGGGCCTATGAAACAAAAGGAATTCCAGGCTACTCTGGGCTCTCTGAGCTACATACAGGGTATCAGTGTTTAATCTTAATTTAAAAAAAGTATTATAACGCTATGAGTCCAATAAAGGTTTTCTTTCTGTAAGCTTATACGCCCACCCAAGCCTTTCGATTTCTCAGAACTCAATTGTATTTCTTTTCCACCTTGGTCATGCCCAAAGTTTCTCTGGAACCTTCTGCAGCTCTCTAGTGCAGGCTGCTCTTGAGACAGAGGGAAGTTGGCGATCGGGATTGACATTTCCAGTATCCATGGGCTCACCAGTGCACAAGGTAAAAAGCAACCGGACCGAAAGGTGCTTGTTAGAAAGGCTAGCATTCAAAACCAGCAGACCCCATAAGTCATTGAAATTCAAGAGACAGAGCAAAGGAAAACCCTAAATCTCACTGGCCCTCCCAGCCGTGTCCATAGGTTTGAATGCCAGGCCCACTCCCCGTTGACTCAGGACTCTAGAGAGTACTCGCTCCGCCCTGTCCTTGGGTCTCCTTTCCAACTCTGAGTCCCACCCTACTTTCCCGGGGGAAGCCCTTCATCTACCCTTGGAGGACTCCATGGAGGATATGGCCCAGATCAACGCACCAACTGGCAGCGGAACTGCCGAATGCCAGGATGCAAAGCGAAAGCAAGGGCGCCTACTACCGCCTGCAAGGCTCGGTCCAGGGTTGCCAGGACAACGCGCCACTTCCCGCGAGCTGGCGCGCTACTCTTGACGCACCTATCTTCCAGCACCCGGCTCTGGCCTGGGTTGAGGATGGGGGTGGGTCTCAGACCTAAATGCTGCAGAACCAACCTCAGGATTTTGTTTTTTGCTTGTGGCTCTTTCTCAACAATTGTCATTGCTACTTCTGTAACCTCGGGTGACCGTGAACGACTCACCCTCTACAAAGCTTGCAGCTGTCGGTGTAGAATTGGCACCCTGATTAGACAGGATTCACCCACCACTTACCGCGCCTTTTTCTGGGCCAGGCTCCCTGCTGGATGCTGTCTTCCCTCCAAAGCCAGCTGCGTTTTTCAAAATAGAAAACTGACTTTGAGCAAAGGCTCGTTCAAGGTCATCCAGAAAACGGATTCACTCCCAAGTTCCATCCTTCCAAAGCGATCATTCTTTCCATGGTATAGATTGAAATTTACCTTTCTAACCCTTTCCCTAATAAATCTCGCATAGAAACGCCCCACCCCCCACCTTAGTCTCTAGATTTATAGTGAGACCTAGATTCTCCTATGGTTAAGTGGGGAAAAGTACGAATCTTTAATTAATTTAAATACTCATATTTATTTGTGTGCTGTATGCATGCACGTGCACATGTGTCGGGGGCGCGCTTGCCTATGCATTTGCGTGCGTCAGAGATCAATGTCAGCTATCTTCCTCCATTGCTCTCCGCCTTATTTTTTTGAAATAAGGTTCTCGCTGAACCCGGAGTTCACCGTTACAGCTGCACTGGCAAGGAGTCCCAGGGAACTACCTCTCTGTGTCCCACCAGCTTATAGACACGTCACGTGGCTTTTAGTGGGTTCAAGGGCTCGAACTCAGGTCCTCGGACTTCAGCAGCAAGCGCTTTACCCCCAGGCCCGTCTTCGCAGAGTGGTTCTGTTTTTAGTAATTTCATTGACTGTAAAAGAAGCAACAGAAGGACTGTAGAAATCTTGAAACGGAGCTAACCAAATACTGCGTGGATGGAGGAGGTGCTCTCCAGGCCACGCCCCTTATGAGGAGTTATCCAATGGGAGACAGCCACTGGGGTTATAAAAAGAAGCCAGAGCTGGACAGCGGTGGCACACGCTTTTAATCCCAACACTCTGGAGGCAGAGGCAGGTGGATCTCTGTGAGCTTAAGGCCAACCAGGTCTACAGAGCAGGTTCTAGGACAGCCAGGACTATACAGAGAAACTGTGTTTCAGAAAAAGAGAAGGTAGTGTCAGAATGACCACTCATGGGATCAAACAGTTGAATATTGTCAGTTTCACGGGATCAATTTTAATCGTAAAATAGTAGCATTCCTTTCCTATCAGGAACCACAACAAGGTCAGAGGCACTGACAGATTAGAAGGCCTCCTCTCTCTCTGGGGCAGGAGCAAAGCCTTGTTAAACTACTATTAATAACAGCGGAAGTGTCTTTACATTAATGATAAATATTGTTGTAAGCATCACTCTTAATGTGACTATTTTTCTTTATAAAAAGCTAAGATGTATGCTGGTGGCAGCCACTCGGGTGTGACACAGCAACCCAACAGTTACAGCTGCTTGCTGCGGAAGCCCTCTGGCTCTTGGAGGCGCAGCCCCACCTATGACTGCTTCGAGCAGCTTGCATGGGACCGGTTGTCATCAAGAGCTCTGGCAAACTCGAAACAATCTTGCCTCTGACCGGAAGAGGGACACTTTGCTGGCAGTCCAGCAGAAAGCCCACAGCTAGTGCAAACATAGTCTTGCATTTGCATGAGACTCGGCCGTGGTTGGTGCCAGCATCCCTGTCTGTAGAGCAAGGCCCACAAAGCTCCCTTTGTATATAGGAGGTAGGAGACGTTCTTCTGTGCACCCTCTTGGGATTGGAGTGGTTGGTAGGGCCAATGGAAAATGATCCTTTCATACCGTGTGTGTGTGTGTGTGTGTGTGTGTGTGTACATGTGCGCGTGCGGATGCATACATGTGAGGATGGTGGCCGATGGCAAGCATTTTCTTCAGTCACTCGCCACCTTATTTTTTTGATAGAGGGTCTCTTACTGAATAGTTTACCTATTCGGCTAGACTATCTGGCCAGCAGACCCCAGGGAACCATTCAACTCTGCCTTCCTAGTGCTGGGATCAAAGGTACATTACTCCTAGCTTCTAAAAATGGGTTCTGAAGATCAAACCCAAAGGCTCACATGCTCTTTACAGAGTGAGCTGGCTCCCTGGGCCTTCTTGCCTACTCCCTTAGTAGAGTGGACTCAGCTAGTGTAGCTGCCTGCGGCCATGGACCAACTGGGTTCTCCTGAAAGGGGGGCTGGAAATGAAGAAAGGGACTGAGGGAGAGAACAGATGAAGCCAAGACAAAGTTCTCTGGTCAAGGCTCGAAGTTTAATGTTCAGCTCTCAATTTAAAGGGAAAGCCCCACCAAACCCCTTCTTGCTTCAGCTGGAGGTGGGTGGGGGAACCCATCCTTTGTCACAGCCGGAGATGTCTCAAGGTATTCTTCTAAATTCCTATAGCAGCTTGCACGTGCAGCCGAGGTGGGTAACTCCACCTAGGTCCTATTATTATTACAAGGTCTTTCAGGCCTGCTCAAGGCTGGAGGGAGGGCACAAACTAGTAACAGAAAGAAAGATTACAATAGTGGAGCAAACAGCAGTGGTGATTATAGCAATAGACCAAGAAAGGAAGCCCAAGAGGTCCCAAGAGCTGCCAAGCCTTAGGAGTGAAGTTTCCAGAGAACTGTAATAGAACCCATCATGGACAGCTAAGATTCCAACATCCTGAACAACAACGGTGGCATTGGTGGCTGCACGAGGAAGGGTCCCCATACAGACTTGTAACCCTAGAAGGTGTGAGCCGTCTGCTGCTGCTTGCTCTGGTCTGTCAGCACTGCAGCCAGAGCCGCTGATGTTAAAGTTAAGCCTCCAACCGTGAGTCTCTGGCTTCTAAAGGCTTTAAAATTCTAAACTTCTGGGCTTGGCCTCTAAGCTCAGTTTGCCAGGATGAGAAGATCTTGGCCTCGGTATTCAGTGACTCCTCCGGAGCTCCTGCCATCTGATCAGAAACAGAGAGACCGGACTTGAGCCTGCATACTTCACCTCCTCTCTACGGGACCCGGCTTTCCTCAGTTCAGTGACACGGAGTTTGGTTCCAGGTGAAGCAGAGAAGAAAGAGCTGTGGGTCACATGCAGAACTGAGACCCTGGCAGTCACAGAACAGGGCAGGAGGGGGGAAGGGGGGAGCATGACACTACAGGGACAGACAGACACACAAGACATATGGTGTTCTCTGTTTTCCCACACCTCCTGAAACCCCACTCCGTTTTTAAGAGAAGCTGGGGCAGAAGTAAGAATTAGGTGTCTGGGGATAAGAGAAAAGCAGCCGGCTGAGGAGAAAGATACCAGATAATCTTCCCTCTAATCTAATCTCTTCCCTCATAGGTCTTGGCAAAGCACACTGGGAAAGGAAAGTTGAGCCAGGTATTATCTGAGGAGTGACATACATTGGTAAAAGGGCCGGGTTCTTGTTAATGCCCAAGAACTTCAAGGTAAATTGAGGGTTAGAGGCCTAGCAGCTCTGCCAAAATCCCTACAGAGAAGCAAGCAAGCCTTCTTTCTTCAATGTCAGAAAAAGGTCGCCCACTACAATTTATCGTTGGGCCTATTTATACCCATAGTGTCCACCAGAGGGCAGTGTAAGCCCAGGCATGGTGAAGAAGATGCCTCGTCTTCTATTACAATTTGAAGGCTGAGGCCTCCTGGGGGGGAGGGGAATGGGGGGGTCTCTCAATACGAGGGAGCTGAGATATAACTGCTGAATGACACAGTCTGCTGAACCTTCAGTGAGGTAAGAAAGTATGAGTGACCCCAGATCCAGCTAACACCGCCAGCCCCCAGATCCACAATGGCCCTCACTGTCAGCTTAGGTCAGGATCCATAATTAGACACCTTCTGTGTTCCAAGAATAGTGCTCAGTGAAGTCTCACAGGTGAATAAAACACAGTCTTGTGAGCCAGTAAGATGGTTCAGGAAGTAAAGTGCCTGTTCCCTCAGCATAAGGACCTGAGTTCAATTCCCCATGCCTACATAAAAGAGCCAGGCAGGCATTAGTCTTCTGACTTCAGGAGACAGACTGCCAGTCTTCCTGGCTCTTGTTTTTGTAGTGAGCCTGGGTCCTCACTACAAGCCCATAGTCCCAGGCCTTCACATGAGCGCCCTCTGCAATGAGGGGTGCATTTGTCACCTCATTACCTCCTCCTGGCTGCCCGTGGACAACAGTGTCCTGTTGCCTGCAGATCAAGATGTAGAACTCTCAGCTCCTTCTCCAGCACCATGTCTGCCTGCATGCCTCCATGTTTCCCTCCATGACGATAATGGACTGAACCTCTGAATGTAAGCCAACCCCAGTTAAATGTTTTTCTTTTTAAGAGCTGCCCTGATCATGGTGTCTGTTCACAGCAGTAAAACCCTAAGACAAGACCCAAGAGCTCTAGGGAGATTAATCAGAAAAATTGATGCCGGGCAGTGGTGGTGCACACCTTTAATCCCAGCACTTGGGAGGCAGAGGCAGGTGGATTTCTGAGTTTGAGGCCAGCCTGGTCTACAGAGTGAGTTCCAGGACAGCCAGGGCTACACAGAAAAACCCTGTCTCAAAAAACCAAAAAAAGAAAGAAAGAAAGAAAGAAAGAAGGAAGGAAGGAAGGAAAGAAAGAAAGAAAGAAAGAAAGAAAGAAAGAAAGAAAGAAAGAGAAATTGAAAAGCCAGGTAGAAACATTGATAAGAGGAGAGGGGGCTGGACGGGGCTTGCTGGAGATGAGAAACCAGCCATAGGCAACAAAGACAACATCTAGACCTGTGACTGGGAGAAATGTCTTTAAAATGGGTGTAAAGGAACATTCATCTCTGGACAAGCTAGAAAGGGCAGAGGTCACGGGGAATCACGAAGTTGGATGCAAGCCGGACGAGAGGTGACATCACATATCAACAGGAAGTGGAGGAGACTT